TTTATATGATCATCGAAGGTGCATGACAATGATAGGGGGTTAGGGCAACTCTGGATTCTTGGACCTTTATTAGATTAGACAGGTTAGCAACGCCAGACTCAATTTGGCGACGCTAATATACTTTCAGTCTCTGACGAATCCGTCTCGTTTTTGTGCTGATTTGCCATTTCTGACTTGCCCAAGTGTTCTAGTAGATTGATGGTCTAATATAAGAGGATAAAAAAATGCTCGGAAACCATTTCGTTCATTGTGAGGTAGTAGGAAAAAGATATTTAAATCGAGAACTTTAGACGAGAGATACTATGGTATAGCTATCGCCCAGGAAATGTTGGCCAAAGGACTTAGTCTGATACAATACGCCATATTTGCTACACTTATAGTATCCCGTTCCTAATAGAAACCACACTTTCTTTAGGTAAAATAGCTCCAACGGATCACTATTTAATAGCAAAGACGCAGACGAATGTTCTCATCAATATATCACGTCAGCAATACTCATGCATCATGCAACAGCTCGGAATTATATGTATACTTTCATTAGTTTTGCTCTCTCACGCCAAGCTATATCTTGCCTCGTCACGTCGCTATGACCCTATCAGACGGTTTGTCTCAACGATAGGTGGCCCGCATGCGGGATATTTTGTCAACAATACTTACGAGTCCAACATTGGATTGTCAGTCGCAACTCAAGAGCTCGAGCTTGGAGCTCAACAAAAGTCCAAGGTTGTCGTCAATAACATAGCGAATAGTAGTGAAGTCAATATGTACGTGACCGGAAATGACTTGACCAACAACCTTGTCATCTTAACACCGAATGGACAATGGTATTATCCCACTGTCAATGACTCCCTAAATGTTCCAATGAAACTGTCTTCGGACGTCATTACCATCCCCGTACAATGTACCAGTCCAGCTATAGAAGTTCGGCTTCCCAGTCCCGTATCAGCGGGAAGGATTTGGTTCGCACACGGTGATCTGGAGTTTTCAGTTGTCAGGACCCAGGCCAGCAGCGCCTCGCTTGTCCAACCTTCTCTGACCTATGCCAATACTTCATGGGACTTCGTAGAGTTCACGACCACCCCGGAGGAAGGTTTATGGGTCAACCTCAGCTTCGTGGACTTTGTCGGCATAGCCTTAGGCCTAGAACTGGTAAATTATAGCCCAGAGAACACCACTTCAGTCCCACAGTCGGCCTTGGGTCTGCAGTCAAGCGCGATAGACACACTGTGTCGACGCTTAGCCGACCAAAGTATTATCGACGGCTATAGCTGGGGAGATTTATGTCTGAGAAATTCAGATTCTCGCCCGGTTCGGGTACTCTCTCCGACTTCTTATATTCAGGCGAACCCGGAAGCTTTTTCAGACTATTGGACATGTTATATCGAAGAAGTCTGGACACGGTACACCTCTGAGAGTCTAATCATCTATCCCCACTCTCAGGATTTGGGGAACATCTCTTGCGGGGTTCAGGATGACCTTCTTATCTGTACAGACGCGAACGGAACAGTTGAAGACTTTGGGAAACCATCGGCAAAAGACGTTTTTGGGTGCAACAGTGGCCCATTTACTATCACGGAGAACTCCAGCGACCTGTCTCGGGCAGTTGTACCACGACTCTGCGCCGGCATCAACCGGTCTACTCTACTCCTTGGCAACTCTAGCTTTCAGCCGAGTGGCATCCCTCCCAGCTTATACTATACCGGCAACGTGACCAATTGGTATAGTAAACTAGTCCACCAATTGGAGATCGATGGCAAGGGGTACGCATTTCCCTACGACGATGTATCGTCGGTCGATGGAGATGACAGTCAATCGGGACTACTGACGGCTCCTGAGCCATGGGTCCTAAGTTTATTTGTCGGCGCCTAAAAATTCGACACGATGCCCGAATATTCTTGTGACTAACATCTCAGTACTGATGTATTGTACTGTATACTGCAACTACTCGATCTCCGTAAATTCTCGTCATTGTATCCAGGCAGGGTGGAAAAGTGAATCACGTGATTAATGTGCAGCAGTAGTATGATGGGTGCAATAGGATCTGTTACATTCGGTGGGCCGGAGGCCGTATGAAAGTACTATGCTTATGTCTGCCTTGGGTTCTCGGTTTTTTCCATCAAGTATCTATGCTATGTCCTGACGAACTGTATAGATTGCAGTTGATATAGTAAAAAGATGCTGAGCCATCTCCTTGTATCTGCTTCCGTGATCCTCAATTTGTAGTCCAGTTGACGAAGCAAGTCCCGTTCCATAGAGTTAACTTGCATCACCGTGAACCCAAAGCCCCTGCAGCTTCTCGTTCGTGACCATGCCGCCCAATACGTTGCTTTTGGACACACATCTCGATGGTACTTCCAGTATACGATTATCGATGCCAGAAAGATGCGATGTGGTGTTGAACACTGCCCTTCAGCGTTTCGTGGGAGGCTGCATTTGAGTCGATACATGTATTCTGTACAGAGCAGAAGATCGGTCCACTCAAGCTGGCAAGAAGAGGCGATATCTTCAATAAATGTCTTGAGGTTCGGGGGCTTTGCTCGGGGCATTGTAGCTTCCTTAGGGCAGTAAATGACATGAGACGCAAATTCTGCAACAAGTGAAATTACCGACAGCTTCCGTGAGGTCACAGGCTCGCCCTGCTGTCTGACGGCCTGCATCGTTCTAGACAGCAATGTCAAATTCGGTAGGTTTGAACACAGTCCTTTCAAACTTGGACACAGTACACGGTTAAGGGTGATTCAAGCACCTTTGTACTGTAGCTCCTGTGCGATATCTTTCTTTTCCAAGATAAGTTTTTGGGTAGGACGACCACCTCAGTATATCCTAGTTAAATCTCAAGATCTCCCCATTCAAATACAATTGTGTTACATGTGGTTTTGAGGTACTATACGGTGATGCAGGCCAGTTCATGTCACTTTCGTCTTAGCTGTGCAGGATAAGGACGACTATTGTAATAGTAATTAGTCGCCCGGTTCCTCAGGACTTTTCAAGCAATGACACTTGGTATTGTATTGGGTGCAGGCTATCTGTCGACGCTACCGGCCAAGAGTTTCCCTGAAATCTCCTCCATCTGACCCCGCAGGGACTTGACTTCGCTTTGCAAGTCTTGAAGTCGCGCTTGCACAGAAACTAGGGTGGACTGAAACCGTTTGAGACCTTCTTCCATCACTTGGTTTTGCCGTTCGGTCTCCTCGAGACTTCGCATCCTTTGGAATTGTTCTGCTGTCCTCTGCTTCAATGCTGCCTGTAGTCGTTTGACTTTGAGACTTAAGGCGTCTTTATCTTGAATTTGGAGCTTGGTCCTCTCATCCTCCTCTATCCATGGTGGATCCTTGGGCCGCCTGTCGTTCCCAGATTCTTCAGTCAGCCGCAACGGAGAGATGATTGCCGTTTCGGATCTCTCCATTGTTATTTCGCTGCTCTGCGCCCTTGTGCTGTAGATGACGGTGAGGTACAGGAATGTCTTCAATTGTTCAAGTTGAATAAATTGTACGTTCGATCTGAAAGGGAAAAATTGAGGGCAGAGGAATGTATATCAAAGAGAATTATGATTCCCCTCCTGCACATAGCTTCTCCCGAGAAAACCCGTGTGACCAAATCCATGACCTCCGGCGGTTATGAGCTAGTTCGAGTCTCACAAGCGCCTGGCGGAAGAAGTCCGTCGCCCAAGCCATGTATGCGACCTCTTGGTGGACAAGGCAGACTGGTCATAGAGTGAATGGCCTACGGTTCCTGTGGTTTGCCCAGCTTCTGGTGCCGGCATCCCTTCCGAGAGCCTCGATTTTGCTACAATATTCGTTACTGTAGTACAGTGGCCGTATGGTTCGCAGCTCAATCGAGTAGAATAAGACTACCAAAGGCCATCTGCCTTTGCGTAGAAGGCTCATAAGATACCGGAGAAGTACTCCTGTACAAATTACTGGAGTCTGTTATACACACGATGCAGGTCTCTTCAACCTCTTCAACGGGTTGCGTCTTAGCGAAGCACTGTACTAGTAGAAGTAGGATGTAGATCAATTCCTGCACGCAGTACGGGACATGTTTCCGCAGGCTTGGATACAATAATCCTAGAGACAATAGATGATAAACGAGTTGAGCAGAACAAAAATACAATATAAACGCATCTCCTTTCCGCTGCTATTCTGATGTTGTAGCCCGGTAGCTAAGATCACATGTCTTGGACGTAGCAAGGGAGCATGGACAGGCGACCAGCCTGCGAGATCCGCTACCCATCAATTGCTTTAACCACAAGTTGCTTGCTGAATGCCCTGCGGGGGTGCAACTGGGAGGGCCCCCTTGTCATCAGTCACGGTCACAACTGCACCCTCGAATCCGTAGAATGTACAGGGGCCAGTGCCTTGAGCGATGCCAATTGCCGATACACTAACACCGTCGCATTCGCCAACTGCCACAGCGGGGATCTCGAAGCATTGGATATTCCCCAGATTGTAGATTTCGCCATTCTGCGGGAGAAAGAATCCCAGGCTTTCGGTGCCAGCAAAGAAGATCGTGTTGAATGAGGATTCTTCTCGTTTCCATTCCAAGTCGTGCTTTGTTGTATTTGTCTCGTAACGTGAGAAATTGCTCTTCGGATCACTGGTATGAGGATGTGGGTAATTGACCCCGGTATGAATTGGGCCACCAAAGGCTGGAGAGGACATGAGGATGAAGATTGTTGCAGCGAACTTCATATGCATCTTGTCAGATTGTACTGTATAGGAATGTAGTTTGGATAAAGAGCTCACAGTTGAGGAGGGTGGTGAGCTTTCCCTCGTATGATTTCCAATCGAGGGATATATACTTGAAGAAACAAGGGGTGTGTTGATGGTCCGGTCCGTAGAAAGCCACTTCTGTGATAGCCTGGTATGACAACCAGGTCAGGACTCCTCAGCGCTTAGGCAGTCTGCCTGGCGGCGAACTAGCGCACGAAGGCACGGCAAAGCCGCTTTCACGACGGCCCAGGATCGAGGCTATGCCTACTGATCAGCGATACATGGCCTTGTGGCTCATCCTACAGTACAGTACCATCGGTGTCGTGTCGTAGTGTTTAACATCCATTGCTATGAAGCGCCCGCTAAGCTCTGCCGCCATGAGTGGCATTGCGGTCATAACTAGCTTAGAATGTCGCTGAATTGTTGTTGGTAACCTTACAATCGACCGTCTTCGGTAATTGAATACTTATCAGCGCTACACAGTACTGTGGTATGTCGCTGACCTGCATTAGTTACCACAAGTGACCGGAGCAAGGCCCAGGGGAAGTTTCAGGGCTGCAGCTAGGTAGCTGAGGGGTAGAGTAAAGGCAATCACCTGCCTTGGCTCGGTCATTATACAGTACATTGTGGCCATGGAGTCCTAGCTCTAGCTCTCTACTGTATCATACAGAATCCTGTAGCATGGTGTGACAAGCTAGGTTCCTGATGTGGCCTCCCGGATCAGACTCCGCCACCAACGAAAGTCGTGACTCCCGTTCGACGGGGATGAACTTTCCTCCTCGCGACAGCCTACTGTAATTGTGAGTGGAACTACAGTCCTTTCAATACCAATCGGGTACGTCGAATGTCAAGGTGTCACATCCTCACCTCCGTCAATAGCCCAGGGCTTCCAGTGGTCCAAGGTTGTTGCCACAGTATACCTTCTGAAGTGCAGTCAGACTCCGATGCCACAGAAAGTGTAGGGACTATGTATGTGTGAAATACTATAATACGGGCGTTCGAGGAATTGCGACTGACTTATTGTATATAGCGCTGCAGCTAGACGTTGCCATCGAGAAAGAATATGTCTTCTTATCTTAGGGACGCCATCATTCGACATCTAGAAACAGAGATAACGCGGACCAACGAAAAGATAGAGCCATGCCCGAAGCACGAGGCGAGTATGCCCTCCGATGCAGATGCCTGTCCTTGTCACGGAAAGGCATTTTGGAATCTCGACCGTCTCGACGAATCCGTCCACAGGCTCAGGGATAGACGCTGTTCCGTATTTTGGTGGTACATATGGTATCTATCATCCTCAACGAAGACTCCGTGGTTCCCCAAAGAAAGCATTCAAGTCTGGCACCAAGTAAATCAGCCCATCGCGGCGTGGCAGAGATTCGGCGTCGCGTACAAAAACCCCAATGAAAGCACGCGCCATAGAAGAGGATACATCTACTACAAGAATTCACGGGAAGTATCCGCTAGACCAGCTGCAGCCACCACTACGGAGTAGTCCGTGATTTGGATAGAGAGTTTGCAGGTGATCTCTGGTTAACGGCACCGGATGGCATGTTTCTCCGTCTTGTGAGTGGCTTGGCAAATCTGGGACTTGTTGAACAGTAGGTGGTTGGTGGCGCAAGGGTAGACCTGTATATAGAGAAGAATTTCTGTCTTCATGGCCGATTCTCGACGACCTCTTTCCAGGCAGGAAGCTATCCTGGCCGTGGTGGAGTATCTGCTAGAGCCTTCGTCTGGGAGGGTAGTGGCCAGGAAGTAAGTTCGCCTAGGAAGTCATGACAAAGTGGGGCAAAGAAATTCCAATAGGAACTCCAACCGTAGCCGCGATCTTCCCGCGCGCTTGCGGATTGTGTGAGGCGACAACTGCCGACTATGATAAGTATCGATTTGCGAGTCCGAGAGCGCTGCAATTTGAGGATAATGGATGTCTTGACCATCAAGGTCGATTTGACTTTCGTGCTATGAACCTAGCAGTAGCGGACATAGCCCTCGGCTAGTCGTTTCACCATTAGGCCTATTGTTGATGGGTATCGACAGGGTTTCAGATGTCGCGTACCACACACTCTGTCGAAATGCGTGCAGTGGTGCGACACGAGAGGAGGGATAGCATGAGGGCGGCCTCTATGCACGATTGACTTGACGGAAGTCCAACAGCACTGGAAAGTGGTTGCGTAACAGAGTAACATTGAAGTCGACGTGCGGCCATTCTGGCCACCACATGCTATGGGAGTCTATGGAGATGAGATGCTCAATTGTGGAAGGTACAACTACTATTGTGTACCCCAGAATCATCTCCGTCCAGTCTGTTCTAGCTTAAATACAAGAATTGTGTATCTTATGGCAAATTCTTCCCACAAGCCCCGGTCTGGTTCTTCTATGGGACGTCGGCGTCTAGGCTCTCGAGTCGTTGCAGCCTGCAAACTATGCAGGAAGCGGAAACGGAAGGTTTGACCTCGTGCCATAGCTAGATATCGACGTTACTGACATCGGACAGTGTTCTGGTGGCCCATTCCCTTGCATACCATGTGTGCAGTCTGGAATGCCCTGCGACTACGATGTCGAAAATACACGACAGTTTCCTTCCATAAAGCTTCTGAGCGCCCTTCACTCTTTACTGCGATGTATCAAATATAGTTCTTCGGAGGAACTGCAACATCTGATCCATGTAATCCGCCACGACTCTCCGATACAGGAAGTGGTCAAAACTTTTCAACACAATATGCAAGCACTATCGCGAGCAGGATACGTCGGCAAAGATGAAGCGGCCAATGGCGACGATGTTCTGGCTGTGGCTCTTCAGCAGATTCCTCGACAACAATCATGGTCTGGGTGCGCAGTGAACGGCGTTGACCGTGCATCGTCAATGTGGAATCAGTCCGGGTCTCCTAGCTACCTTCTTGCCGAATGTGCTGACGCGACCACCAATTTGGTCCCGGACGACAATCTATATGAGTCAAGTCAAGCCTGTTTACAGGATTTACTCATGTCAAGACCGATCACCGGTCCACTTCAAGTTCAATCTGCCCCTGTCGACGCCTCTGAACCGTCCATCAGCATTCGATATAATGATTGGACTAGCCGCACTGAGCCTGGGTACTTCTCTCAAGGTAGTCCGATGTGGGATTTGACGACTGGACCAAAAGGCGCAGAGGTCACTCCCGTACAGCCCCTGTCTATGCACAATGAAGTCGATGAGGAATCTGTTTGGAGCACTACCTTGAGGGGGCACGAGGCCCAGTACGCTTCATGGGAAGGTATGGGGAGCTTTCTATAGCTATGGATTTCAAATAATGACCCGAAGGAAGCCGGCATCTCATGTAGTTCCATAGGTATAATAATCAACATCTACTCAACGATTTGGGCAAGTGTTGAAGATCTTATCAACAAAGTTAAGGTTATTTAGATAGCAGGTCAAACTACTAGCTTCATTATAAGAACATATTAAATGTACATCCGTGGTAAAGGGAAAATCTTCGTACGCCAACGCCGAGTCAATCCGGTCCAACTCAAATCAAATAGCAGAAGCAAGTGGCTGGGGCAGTATCTTTTGACTACCCTCTTTCAATCTTGGAGTTTGCTCAGTATAGAACGACGTCCCCGTTCTCAACACGCCCATCCACCGCTCTTATGCGAGGCTTTGTGTGGAACATCAACCGTTGGAAATTCTTTTCTTAGATAATGGTGCTGGACAAACCAATCGGTGATGGAGCTGAGACTCGGGCTGTTGAAGTACCTTAATGGTCAGCACTTCCACTGAAGATTGATGCAGCTCTTACCTTGCTCTTCCGGAATTATGTCCACATTTAGCCGTGGCCTGGCTGGCACAGGTCTTGATCCTCGAGTAGGAGTCATTGGGATTCCCTGATCCAAACCCACAGTTACCACCTCTTTATCCGACCGCAGATTATGTGTAGCTAGCGTAGAAGGCCGTAGGGTTTCACCTGTGTAGTGACTAGCAGGTGCCGTCACGGTAGGTTTGGACGAGGGAGTGGTTCGAAGCGGTAGACCTGAAAATCTTCTGCTCTGACGTCTATTTCGATCGTGCATCCGGAGTAGTGGTGAGAGTCTTTCATTCCCTCGTTCGATATCGTCGTCTTCCATGAAAAACGGCTGAAAGTGGGACCTTCGCTTTTTCCGAACACTGTCGATTTGGGCTGTGCTGGCAAATGGCAGCCGTGGTAACGGCTTATTCATGTAGCTCAACGCTACTTCTGCTGACATTTAGTCGAAGGCTGAAACTAGATCTAAGACGTACCATTCATTAGACGTGAGGGTGCCTCCTGTTTTCCTCGGACGGGACGTATAACCACAAACAACAGGACAAGAAGCCCGAGAAAGACAACAAGGAGAATTGCAAAGACTATGCTGACGATAATCAGAGTAGACGTCGTGTTTCCCAAACCCATTTCGTTTAGATGCTGTGGTACGTGCGGGAAAGCTGTCATGGCTCAATCATAATGTCGCTTCATCCACGACATTTTATCCATGGCTTTGAACATATGACCAGTTGGCGAAGCGCCCTGGTGGATCGAGGCGCTGCGAGCCTCATGATGGTCGAGACAGTTGTTAGTGTACTGTATGGTGGTGTGGGGTAGCTCAAAGACATAACAGGACCTCGTCACCGCGGATAGTCGATGATAAAAATGGCGAGGCAATCCAGGACTAATGACTATTGTATTTTTGGCCCCAGAGTTTTGTGGGAGTCGTTCGCGCTGGAAGCGCCCACAACGGAGCAGAAAGTTGGCGTGGTGTGGCAGTGAGCGGTGGCCGAAATATGCCCGCCTGTTGCACATGGCCACAGGCTTTGAGGAGGTTGACGCTAGCAAGCAGCACAATCGTCCGACCACCGAGAAGTCGATATCTTAACACATGACGATGTCAGAATTTCGTCGGCTTCGTTCTGTTTCAATCCTTTTGCAATGCTACAGTAAAGGCTATACGAGTGGCGCTTTCAGTCAGCCTAGCCCGCTCTCGTGCACTAATTCACGACTCGCAGCACATGGAAAGGGTCAAAGACGCCCTGGCCTTCGAGCAGACTCAAAATACAAACGGAAGGGCATCTGCAGGAGCTCACGTATCAATGTGGATGTCTACTCCGCCACCACGGCCACAAACTGGAGCGGTACCTTCGCTTCATCCTCAACCATTGCGATGGACTAGGATGGCTCGAATCCTTGGAACAGGATTTCTGGAAGCAAGCCGCCACCTTTGCTAGTATACAGCAAGAAAATGAGGTTCTACATGAGCTGGTTGACGTACTCAAAAGTCAGTGCGCGAATCTTCGAGATGCTCTCTGTGAGACAGCTCTTTTCTAGCTATGGTGTCAAGGGTGCACCGCGCCACCGATGACGATGTGCAGACTCGGCTGAGACCTTTCCAAGGAGATGATCGACCAGCTCCTGGGATTGAAAAATTCATGCCGCAGCTGGCTTATCATGTTACCCCTCGAGGATCAGCCAGACTGCTCATTTCGCATCAGCATCAAGCAGACTCAGCCAAATAAAAGGTGTAAAATCACCTCAAAAATCCCCCAGAACACCTTTTTTGCATGCTCAAATTCGGAGACAAGAGAATGTTTAGAAACAGTCCAGAACTTCGGCATCCTACAAAGATGCTCGCAGGAGCTGGTAAACAGTCACCACAGAACTCGGTTCAGGTACACTGTATAATGCAGTTATACTATTACTAGAAACCATGTCTGCAATTCAGCGACTATGCAGGCAGACTGCAGTAAGAGTCCGCATATTTCTGGACATTAAAATGACAACAAGACACGCACTGTTCGCGTTCCTAATCTTTGTTTAGAAATCTACAAGATCTTTAGTACAGTACGACCGAGGTGGCCAGAAAAGCATGTGAAAGAAAGAACAGAGGCTAGATGCACATATAAAGCACCAAATATTCAAGTAAGCTTCAGCAGGGTAGGTACAGCAGGCTAGTACGATGTTGTGCTCAAGATGATAATTTTACACTCCGCCCGCGGATGTAATATTCTGTATCTGAGGAACTATGAACTTGATATCTATATACAATTTAGCAGCCTTTCATCAAGCCTTTTTTCGAGTCATCTCCATTCCAAACATTCTCATCAGTATCCCCGCTTCTGCGCATAGACATCGTAGTAGATATCCCATTCTGCTTCTTGCTCATCAGTCATTTCACCCTTTATCCCTTCAGCCTGTCGGTAAGCCTTTAGTACAATTTCCTTGAATTTCTCGGGACTCAGTTTCTGTTTGCCTTTTGAATGCGACTGCATCGTCTCCGTTTCCTTTCCACCTCCCTGGTCCGGAGGAGGTGTGGGAAGCTGTCTATCTTCAGGCTTACTGGACTGAGTGGTCTCAGAAGCTGGAGGGGGACTCGCTGAGATATCTGGCTGTTTGCGTAGTGGTTCCGTTGTCGGATCCCGGCTCATCGATCGCTTATAGCTCTCAAACTCCTGAGGTTTGCTGGATTCGTACCAATTGAGGAAAGCCGACGCTCTCTTGCGCGCGAATTGGTAGATCTCCTCTTCAGCACTGATCTGATTCTTTCGATACAGTTGCCTAAATGCAGAACTCAACTCCCAAGATGGTTTCCCCCATTCCCCATTGAATGCAAGTTGAATCTTCACGGAAGGGTACTTATCCAATTCAGCCTTATGAGCCCTACGCTCACTCCCCGTCTTGTACAAATTTGATTTCTTCACCGTCTGAGGATTTAAGAGCTCCACCGCTTGCAGGGGATCATCTTCAAAACCGCGGCAATCGAAAGCCAGGTTTAACTTTCCTGCCACATCACCAATCCTGGGTTTAGCCTTACCCTGAGGGCGGGGATAATCTAAGACGCGGTTAAACTTATCAGAGATATTGATCAGATCCTTCTCAGTGGAGCCTTCCGGGAGTACTAGGGTAGAGCTGAACACGAACCAGCCACACCGACGAGGCCCGTAGCGGTTCAGGTACGTAGGTGAACCATCGTCATCTCCGTATTTACACATTTTGGCAACAGTAATACGCGGAGCTCCTGGGAAGAGTTCAGAGGATTCCCCCCCTTGTATAGGAACCACTTCAGGGTCTTTTTCATCGTCATCTTCCTCTTCCTTTTGATCAGCTTCACCCTCAACTGTCGGCATTGGTGTGTCTGGATCTGGAAGGTAGCTTTCTTCATCGGCTTCGATCATTTCGATCTCTCTGTCAATGGCCTCGAGACTTTGTTCGACTCCTTCCGCGTCGCCATCGGTCTTAAGTTGTTCCCTGAGTGCGTTTTGCTTAGCCTTCTTCTCTTCAAATCTTTTTCTCGCTTCAGGTTTGAAGTTTCTTCTACGCTTTGTAGGCTCTGCGGTTACTAGTCTGGGTTTCTTGCCTTTTCCCCACCCCTCTTTCGTTGTATCCGCCTGCCGGCCTTCTGCGCCCTTCTTGCTAGTCTCTCCATCGGAACCGCCGCTCGCAGACTCTCTTCTGCCCGACATATTTAAGGGACTTGAAGAAATGAGAAGAAGTTGAGCCACTGAAGGAGTTCGACTCTTATAGGCTGTCAACCTCGGAATGCTTTGGTTTCAAGCTCAGTGCTGCGGCTCCCACTCTTTTCAGCCAACAATTTGAACCACGGTCCACCGAGGGGCTTAAGTTTCACATAAAATGCTTGCTGGCGATCAGCACAAACATAAGCAAGCTCTTCGGGCCAGGATCGACATGCAGCCACTTACTTTGCTTCGATGGTGGTTGCTCCTACAACCGCCTGTGTAAGTCGACATCAGCAGCACGAATCCGCAACTAATCATTATTGTATCAGTTGGTCTCAATCAATCCCTCAATCCGGTTCCATCTCATTGGGAAGTTTTTGGCTAGTATGGGGACAAATCAATACATCCTCGACGTCTACCGTAGGGTCGGAAGGCTTGATCCCAACGTCCATCGCGTCGGATGCGAATACCCCGTTGCACACCTCGACGATTACGTCCTATTCCACTAAATATGTTCTTCCGACCGTTTCGCCACAGGGACGTAGTGACATTACGGCAATGCATTCGCTTACTGACTGGCCGTTCCCTCCTATGTCAGGGACAAACCCTATAATGCGGACTACTAAAGGTGGCGAGATGCCGTGTACGGGAACGAGAGGTCAGAATTACAGCGGTAAAGGAACAGTCCCCCGCACAGGAGCTGGCCACGAAAACGTCACTGGGAGTGTTGTCGCAACAGTACAAAATGGAACGTTTCGATGGGCAGGCCCCACGTTGCAATCTCCGGCGGTATATAACACTGCCAGTACCGTCACAAGAACTAGGATTATCTATGGAATTGTTTTCTGGATAGGTTTAGCTATTTCGTAGGTAGAAAATGGATACAGTATCTCGCATCCCCAAGTCACGAATCCTCGGCGCGACCACGTCCTATGTTTGTCTATGAAATTCCAGCAACCAAGTGATTTGATACGATATCTTCAACTATCGTCTGCCACATTTCCAAACAGAACTCGGCGCACTCCTCTCAAAAAGGCCGCGTGACTGCGCCCTATGTGATGAAACCTCTCCATCAATTGCTTCAACTCGTGGGCTTTGAGAAAGCTCTGTACCGGTTGCAAGTCCTCCGAAACCGACGGCGTAAGCTCGGCAGCCTCTGGGATTTCATTCTCTATGGTCGGAGAGTTATGCTCACCGGAGAGTCTAGTTCGTGGCCTCTGCCCGTATGTAATACGTCGAATTGATGGGTCAGACATCTAAGACATTTCTTAGTGCATTTCGGCACATTCATGTGTTATCTCTCACCAGTCTCTCCCACGAATACGGCCATGCTTCAGAAACGTCCTCCGAACTTAAAAAGTCGGCATGACGGTCATCCACGATGAGGAGAAAGACCTTCTTTTTACAAAGTACGTTGAGCTGGTTGGTCTTCTTTATCACACACCATTGGCGGCGTCTTGCCTGCTCATATTGTGCTTTCGCCGCTTTTTCTTCGTCAGTGGTGGTTTGACTGTGGCGAGGTAGAGACTTTTTAGTTGGACGATTCTTGTTGCGTGCCATGGGTTTATATGTCTTTCGATATGATTGTCGTACTTCAATATTGAGATGGCTTAGTAGTACTCCAATGTGACAACAAGGGAGAGTTTCCTTCTAATGTTCATCTTCACCATGGTCTTCTGTGGGAACGTATCAAAGTGGAGTCATCACCTGTAAACTAGGTGTTTCATATTCTTCTGGGCGGCGGCAAGCACATCCGTCTGGATTACGGATTCTACTTGAATTTCCGCTTCCTACGGGAGTGAAGCCGCGACTTCTGGTGGGTGTGCTATCTAGCGTGTTTCACGATTGAAAAAGCAACACCGCCTTGATATTCCGTGTCTTCACGCAAGGCTACTTCAACCAGCAACAACCAGTCCTGCTGTACGTTTACTGTTTGTCGATCCTCAAATCGCACCTGAAATGATGGATGACTCTCTCTTTGATGACACTCTGTATTTTGAACAACCGCCAGTCAGTCCACCCTTGCCGTCGGGTGGCATCACAAACAACGCGGATCATTCTCATGGAAGGATCCCAAACAACGTGAGTCATGGTTGGCCTCCGGGGGTTTGGGAACCCAACCGTCGCACAGGCAAGGAGCCTCGGAAATCCGCTGCTCAAGTACTCAACCCCTCCGCACCTATCTTGCCCTCTGGTTCAAACCCCGGGCATCCTCTCGTCAAACAATTCTTGAACTTTGCGCAACGGGCGAGGAACTCGACCGACGAGAGGCTTGACGAAGTTGAGAAGAGGTGAGTTTGAAAGGCTTGCAGGTTAGCCAGCGGCATGCAGATAACTTGCCCCAGGCTAGCTCGTCAGATACAAAATCTAGCTCGTCAGCTAGAAGAGCTACAAAAGAAGATCGACCAATCTGAAGCCCAGCAAGAAGAAGTACTGAAGAAAATTCAAGAGAGTGAAAACGGAAGTGCGATGATGATGCAGGTTGCTCAAGCGGCTAGTGTCGCTCTTGATTCTCTGTTAGGAACGAACATGCCGTCCAACACAGCCGAGTAGATGGCCACGGGATCCGTCCTTGAGTTGGGAAAAACTTGGCTCGTTCTGCGACACCTGGGACCTGCGACGCTGATCCAGGGAGCTCTGTGGTTGTATACTGTAATAAGGGCGTCAGGTCGACGACAGGTCTCGCAAATCTGCGCGCCGAAGATGCAGGGGGATTGTCAAGGCAGGAAGCGTAACGTAGACAGTTATAACATCTGTCGAATTCTTAGAATATGTCCGTGGAGACTTCCCGTGACTTTGACGGTTTTCTGCCTCCAAGGGCGTCTGTGTCCTCCCTGTTTTCGAACCTTGTTGCTGTTCACGAAGAATGTACGTGGTGACCGCAAATTTCCGAGGTATTGCAATCTCCACTGGGGATCGTGAAGGCAGACTAGAGACTACCATTCCGTTATTTAGCCGGAAATACCGGCGGACATCTTTGCTTAAGTCATAACCCTCTCGGCACAATACTGGGATTCTCTCCATTCGGGTAGGTATGAAGCAAGTTCGACAGAGATCGACGTGCTTCGAGAAATGCGCCATCACGGAGTATTCGTCATCGTACAGTTCGCGTAAAGCGCCGCGTCGTTCTCTGAAGTGGACTCGTCGTGGGGGAAGATATTGAGACATGGTCGATCAGCTAAAGCGGCATATGAACAAGATTGATTAGACCGTCGAGACACGTTTCCTTTATAGCTTCTTTGAACTATTGATGCGGGATCTGCCATCCTTCATAAAGTAGCAAACTTTGTCTCGATTGTCAAGCGTTCAAAGTTGTGGGTATGAATTTACTGCAACCACCACTCTGAATGGGAATCCCCCTGATTCTGACGGCAGAAAACCCCCGTTGGGGTGGTACATTAGGACCCCTCATTTTCCGGATGGGTTTCATATACAGCTTTCTACGTGATCGACGACGTTCTACAGACGACATACATACGGGACAACAACCTTTATCCAACAAGTAAAGTTATCGGATGAGAAAGAGCATGCCACAGATGTCAGGCAATCTTCCATCAATTCAGTCCTTCGATAGGAACATACACAGATTAGGAGGATCGACTAGCGCCCTTGAAGTCAGGAAGGAAACCCTTCATTCAACCAAGCGGTATCGACTCTGGTCACAAGAGCAAAGAGAAATTGACCTTATCAAACAGCTCTCTGCGTTGAAACGAGAGTTGAATTTCTTTCGACCCTGCTATGAGGCTGCACTAGCCTTGATATCTAACATATATACGGTCTCGCAAGAGATGTATCTCAATTACTATCTGCGGCCCACAACTATGATTGACAACACGGGAAACGGAATCTCTGATACCGACTGGTCTCATCTGGCTGATACAGAGTGGCTAAAGCGAGCGGATGAGCTTGTAGAGCACTTAAAGCACTACGAACGTTCGGTCAAGCAAGCCGAGGCGGAATGGATAGAGCTTGCCCAGTATCAATGTGAACGCGACCGCTCGCGGTGGATTTAGAACAGTGTTGAGATTAGTCGCTTCGTGAAACCAGTACAATATAAATGTTATGTACAGTACTTTACAGAGCCGTGTGTTTATTTGAGAAGAGATTGGCTTTGCCATGCTGTTCGAGGACCGTCATTGCCACTAAGCTCAGTAACTAGTCCCAAAAGTGAACTAGTAAGGTACAGTACAGTGCACGAAACCGTATGAAAGAAAGACAGCTAGAAATTCGCCTTCTACCAAAAATTACAGCCGAAGCCCTGCACTTAACTACAGTACTATCGTTTGCAGACTTAGATATCGTCCACAGCACGACCATCTACACTGCATTGCTACTGTAACGGACCATGCCTCAAGCTGTGTGCTTCAGGACTTGTCTCTTATGAGATTCCACGAGTCATTACCATGCGATCCTGCACAGCGGCCCACAGTGTGATTTCCAGAACTATGTGCTTTACGTCTTACCACACTTCTTCGTGAACTTTATCCGAGGGCCGTCGCGAACATTGCTTTTCGTGTACTACTTTATCTAGTTAAGAGCAATAATTCGGAAGACGTACTGTATTTCACACTTTACTGCACTTTTTAGAGGATTTTTTCACTAAGCTGACGAGTCTTGACGTGACCTTTTGTCATGGTTCTTCATGTATTCTCTCTGCCTCTCCCTCTCCCTCTATCTCTCTCCTTCTATCCCAAGCTGCAATCACCTAGTCATGCCTGCGGTAAAACCGATCTTCAACGCTGGCCGACTTCTCCAAGATGACGATTGTGATATCCAGGACGAGTGTAGCACTGTCGAGGACGGTGTCTTGGACATCAGGAGAAAGTTCGCCTTAGTGGTAAGCGAGGGACGACAACTACAGAGAGCAGTGTTAGCTCAACAAGCCGAGATCGAAGACCTCCAAACTCGGCTATCAGGCCACGAACATTCTGCCGTCACCCGAAATCAGCTACTGGCGCAGGGACGCAGGCTGCAGGAGCACAGAAATTCAGAGAAGATGCTGCGCCTTCGCGTCCGAAAGCTAACAAGGGATCTCGAGGTCGAGCGTGCGAGCTTAAAAAGGGTCAGCTATCTCAAGTGCGATATCTGCATGGCCAGCATTAAAGATGTTGTCGCACCATGTGGCCATGGCTTTTGCAAACAGTGTCTCATCATATGGCTGCGGCAGCCGAAGGAGGTCGATACTGGTGAGGAATCTGAGAATTGCTGCCCCCATTGCCGGCGACCGCTCCAAGAACGTGATCTTTTGAACGTCTTCCTCGAGTCCGGCCGCGAGACTTCTCCTGTGGCCGAGGAGGACGGGGCAACGGAGATTCTAGACAGCGATGGCGATTGAGGAGTCTCGGTGGCTTAACCGGTGGATCTGCTTAACTTGCACAGATATTGATTCAGCTGCTTGCACAGCTCCCCGTCTCGTTCAAGGTCGTGACCTCCGAACACCGTAAAGGGGAGAGGGACGGGGTAAGGTTCACCGAGCAATGTACCTGTTGCGTGAATCCGGGATGATAATATCCATCCTGAAGCGAAGACACAAGAGATTGTTCTTGACGTTTAGACGCTTTTCCTGTGAGTGCCCGCGTACAGCCGGTCAATTATTTCCGGCTGGGGACTACAATGCTGATTACGACTAGGCACCTGGGCGTCTGGAGTATTGTATTATTGATTTCTTGCCGCTACTCTGGACGCGATCCGCTGTCGAAGCATCAACCGCTGGTACTGGGCACTCCTACCAACCCGTCTCTTCCCAATCAGCCTTTCAACCTCGAACTGGCCGTCGTCAGAATCCACGGCCGGGGGACGTTCATGATTTAGTTCTTCATCAGCAACAGATGGGTAACCCTTTCTAACTTTCTCGCACATTGAACCTTGAACAATATCTTGCGTACTCATCTCCCTCCGGCTGAGGTTAGCTTCGGTGGCCATACCACCATTTACATCTCCTGTACCTGCTAGATCACCTATATCGTGGTTAAAAATGTGGAATCATAGACCTCAGTATTCAGTACGTACAGTAAGTCGGCACCGCGGCGGAAATTGGTGCCGAGAACACCTTATTGACACTGGTGAGGTCTACGACCTCAACATCGTCCAGATCTGGTGCTGTCGACTCGGCGAGGATCGCGGGATCAATGAACTCTTCACCGCACACTGAAGACAGTGGCGTCTTGTAACAACGAGGGACTTCGTCATCCGCCACGCTGCTGTCCAGACTATGAAGTGGAGTAGAACAGCCGAAAGATGATTTGGTGCTGCTTGGTCCCTGGTCGTGCATTTGCTCTATCGTGCTGTTAATGAAGGCATATTCCCTTTTGACCATGTTTTCATCTGAGTCAGGTTCACTTTTGAGGCCTGGAAGCCGTCTCTTTCTCTGTACGGCTAATCCATCTTCACTTTCGTCTCTCTTCCTCTTCGATCTTACCGTCTCTCTGATAAACGGGATGCCATGAGCGTCTTGGAGGTGGAACTGTAACTGCTTGACCGAATCAAATAGTGTAGCACAGTAAGGCTGTGGGTGTGGACATTTCAGCGATTTCTCTGCGTCGAGGCGAGAGGTGTGTTTGTGGATGTGGTCCAGCCATCTGCCACGATTGAGGAACTGCTTCAGGCGCACGGACGCTGGTAAACTCGTAGCTGTCAGGCAATAGGGGCAAAATCCCACGGTAGCAAGAACTCCGCCATGGGTGAGAGGGTCACAGACCATCGGAAATTCTTTTAGCCAGAATAGATGCCGTTCGCAATGGCCTTCCCAAGCTTCCTCTCCAAACACCCACTCATTGCACAGAAAACATAGTTCGGCAAAGCCAGAGACTTTCTCGGAGCTTCTCTTATAACATGTGTAGATATGCTTCCAATCATAAGAGCCTTGTCGATTCCCTTCGAGTTTGTTCCCGTAACGCTTCGAGCAACAGCACTTGTCTGGTTCCAACCCAGGCCGATGCTCGACTTCGGATCCCTGCTGATACAGCGCGATCATCGCGTGCAGGGCTTTGAGACCGGTTGGACTTCGTAGGGTGTCAATGTTGAAAAGATCCCGGCTGAGACTGTCTCTCTCAGGCATCATGAAACTGACTCGACTGAAGATTGCCCGGTGGTAGCCCGATGGGTCGTTTGGCCTGTTTGGTTGTCGTTTTTGCCAATCACGCAGCTCTTTATCCGTCAAATTACGCCGTTTGCGGTATAGCTGTTGTCGATACTTCACCGATTCAGCATCTGTTTTTCCCTCTAAAGTTGTGATCTCTTCACTTAGTGCAGCATATTCAGGGGTGTTTTCTAACTCAAATTGCTTCTCTGCAGGGAGGCATTGCGATAGATTGGGGTTTCGAGGCACTGTGAGGCCCCGAAATAGGTCCGCAGCGATGGTTCGCCCCTTGCCGCCCAGATAGGTATCCTGCGCCGTTAGTAGGCATGTAGTGGCGACGGAGAGTGTTTGCATCCATGTGACCAGCATGGACCATTCGCGTCGCCTCAGAATAGAACTTGTCTGTATGGGTGGTCCCATTAGCAGATGGAAAAGAAAGGCAATGGAAAAGTTGGAGACGTACCAATCCAGTACAGGCCTTCGGCTCTGAAGCCATGGCCAGTGGGTGGCTTGGGATATCCAGCACGATGTCCCCAGGCTTGCTGTCTCTTGCTAAATGCGCCCGCAGTTTCGATTCTCTGTTCGGAGTTTTTGCTAGATCGGGCCATGAAAAATGGAGTATCTAGCAATTCGTCCTTCCAGTGCAGTTGCAACATCTCATCTTCGGGTGGCATAATGCCGAGGAGCTCCTCAATCGTATCTTAGTCCCTGAACGCTCCATGAACGACGAGACGAGCAAGAAACGGAAGCATGGGGTTAAAGCAGAGAATGATAGGTACTCCACCTTCGTACAATGCATGTTGTGGCCTACATATTAGAAATTAGTACCCGTCTTCCGGAAACAGCGCGGTGGACGGTGCCCGAACTACCTTTTCTCGGGCGTCTTTGCGGTTTTTTTTTGGCATCACGAGTGAGTTGAACTGCAAATTCGGGATTCCCATATTCGTTGACAAGCACACCAAAAGTGATATCCTGAATGGCAAGGGTCAGCATCCGACGCTGTTCTATTTGCCCCCGTAGGTATGAATAACTCACACGGTAGTAGAGGCCGCGGCCGCTCCCCGATCGGCAGCTGGATTCAATGTACTCGCCAATTCGGGAGGAGGAGAACTTATTAGCCAAAAGTAATAGCCAATCGTCCACTCTCGTGGCAGGCGATTTATATTCGAACCAGTCCACCATCCAAAGTTGCCTGGCAAAGTGAAGCAAGTGAGTTTTGGTGGCAAATTTCCGTGGTCTTTTAGACCCGGTCAGCCCAATCTCTTCGGCCAGAGGACCTTTGATAAACTACACACATGTCAACCGCTGTCGAAGTATCAAGTTTGGAAAAGGAAATACATTTGTGACAGATCGGGCAACGCCGCGAGGTATTTCAGGACTTTCAGGATTGGCTCGGGGTCATGCAGCCGTAAAAGAGTTCCAATACTTACGCACGGTCTCCGTGCAGCCCTCCTCGATGCCTTCTGCGCCGTCAATCGCGTACGCCATTTCTTTCACAAACGCCTGCAGTGAGCGTAAGTCATACGGAGACGCATCAGGGTTCTCTCGAACGAATCTATCAGGCCTCGTCAGTGAGTTCGCCTACGGATCCGGGTCACACACTCGTGCCACAAGTCTAGCTGTCTCTGATAGTTTCTTTCCGTTCCAGGCTCAAGTTTCCGAAAAGTTGGTTTGCCATCAGCAATACCAGTGTCTCGTGCAGAGCACTTCTCTTTGGCTTTGCGAAGAGTTTCGCTGGGGGTTTGCTTTTTTCCCATGACGAAGAACGAGAATGGAGCGCCAGGATGGGATAGGTAATCGAGGCTTGAAGAGTCTGTGGGATCAGGTGAAGTGAAAGTGAAAACGAAAGAAGAAGCAAGTGACGGGCAGACGAGGGAAGCCACGTCCGAGATGAAAGACAGGCGGATTGATATGGAAGATGCGACGTGTACTGCGTGCAAGTCGCTATCAGGAGAAATAGTCACCAGGGTGAATGCAAGACAGGAGGCGCGCTCCATCTTGCACGGGAGGCGTAGGTTGAGAGAGGTTGCATCCACCGTCTGTGCAAGAAGTCCCAGTTTCGGACCTTGGGTTCCCAGAACCGTACCCTCGCGGATGGTCGTGTAAATCTTCCACATCCTCGAGTAAAGGCCCCGACGAAGTATGGCATGAGCATCCAATGACGGCGGGGCCCAGAAACGAGACTGAGCACGGCTGATGAGAAGGGTGAAGAGGGTGAGGAGCGGCCTGAGCAGCGAGGCTGAGCCGAAGTTGAGCCAGATCACATGATTCCCGAGTAAAGCGGCAGGCGGCTGTCCCAAACGGGCGCCAAGACGAGGTGCTCTGGCCGCCGAATACCACAGTATTCTAAGGGAAATGGGCTTTGCCTCGTGATTGGGCGAGACAATACACGGAGAAGTGTGGCAAAAGAAGAAATGTAGTGCATGAACGGGTAAGGACCGGGTGGTCATCAAAGAGGTCGCGACAGTCGAGACGGCCAGTGGCAATGAAGAAGCGTGATACAGTAGTCGGATGGGATTAACGTTTTGGAGCAAAAGTTAGCCACCACATCTAAGTAGGCTTCATGTCGTAATGCTGACATTAAAATGAGCATTGAATACTGTATTGGCATGTATAGTCGTTCCCGAAATCGCCCTCCCCTTTGTGGACACATTGTAACTTTCTTCTATGGGAAGTCTAAAATATAGGTGGATAGCGCTACTCCTAATCAGTAGTAGTCCACCCATTAATTTGAACATGACTAAGCCGTGAATTTGTCTCACCGTATTTCTCTTACCTTGCGAATACTGAAAAACCCAGTCCTATAATAAATGTAACACGTCGTTCCGGCAGTTCTATCCATCGCACCCCACGTGTTGATGAGGAACATAAAATCAAGGAATGAGCACATCTTGGCATGCACCTCACCTGCGCCCACTTAACCGCTGCATCTTCTCGTGGTATTCTGCCGTGTATACAGTACAGCACCTCTTTTAATAGGGATACCTAGACGAACAATAAACGGTTGATGGCAAACTCAAGTAAATATACTGTATACGCTTACAATGGACAGCATTCAGCTTGCTAAAGGTAAGCATGCACTCCAAAAAAAGGGCTCAGCTGATTGTATCCCCGTGAACTGCGAAACTCTTTTTGACCGAGCCGTAAGCATCCTTTGCCTGAAAGAAGCCGCTTCCTCGAGGTATCGCGCAGTAGCTGCGTCTCTCTCAGAATCCGAACCGCTGCCCGGTCGACGCTTCTCTATACTACTCACTGGCGCTGCCTGCAGCTCTGCCTCGTTATCGATAGAATCCCTCTTGGGCCAAAGTGCTAGGCTGCTGCAACATTGCCTCACTACGGCTGACGGTGTCGAGTACCTACAGACAGGGAATCTGGACGTCCTCAATGAGAACGATTCAGGCAATAGTAAGTCAAACAGAATGGCATCCTTCCTAGATCAACAGCGGGATACAAACAATGCTCAATCTTATACAGAGATAATCGAGCCGACGCCGTCAAAGATCATTTGGATCGCCTTGATTCTACGCTACGAAAATCAAGATTATCACTTTCTCAAGCGCTGGGACATCGATCGTCAGTCCTTTGGAAGTCTGGTTTATGGAATCGTCAGACCAATGATCGCTTCACAACAAGAGATGAACACATATGTTGGAGATATCTGGGTAACGTTAGACAAAACGGAGTATCTCATACAAGACGACAAGGCGGATGCTCTATATGACTTCGTTTGCAGTGAGCGAGATGCTCCCGGAAGACTTGGGGTACGCGTATACGTATACCGTGCTACCAATAGTGATGGAATACGCATTGATGAGCTGAGCAGGCTCGCACCGAATGATGCTGCTTATAGGGCACTACGTTGAATATTATTCTAAGGCGCTACAAATACCCGAGAAGTAACTAAATTTCATCATAGCCATCGATAACGTTACCTCAGTAGTCTTCTTCAGGATTTGCCATATGCTTGACTATCATCGCATACTCCAGGATCCTTCCGGTCACAAAATTTCGTGCAGCTCCAGTCTTCTTTATTAGGTTTTAAGTCGATCTGTCCTCTTGTATTTAAGACAAAAGGGAGTTCCGCAAGTAATGGGTTCCTCAAACTAAGCATACATAGTCTAGACTATCCTTAACGGAAGACGACACATCCCCATTCATCATACCCACTCCAATAGCAAGAGCTTGGATGCTCCAGGACTCGTTACTGTACCTGGGCGAATTGTATGTTGTCCTTCGGCTAGTAAGACTGGCATTTCCAGCGACTGGAAGTAGCATATACCGCAAAAAGGCAGTATATGGATAAAACTTCATAGGCCCGTTTCAATCGGTCGCTTGTGGTCTGGATATGTCGAACATTCATGGACTATGATGCGCAAATTGAAGAACGCCTCCACGGCTGCGATAAAGGCTTTGCAGTCTGTGCACTGGGTTTTTCTGTTGATCATGATATCCACCTGTTTCAATGGCACCTCCCGCTGGCTTTGCAATTCATCTCTTAGGCTCTCAATTTCACTTGTAACTTCGCGAATGTATTTGACGTTTTCTTGATGCTTTTCGGGGGTGATTATGCCGTTCTTAAGGCTTCGTGTAGTTGCCATAGTACTTTTTATAAGGTTCTTCGTGATGCTCTTAGCCCATTCATTTTTAAAGCTTGTATGGTACCAAAGTGTGTATGCAACAGCCTGCTTCTCTGCATGGGAGGCATTGAACCATCCCGGTCGTCCATGGTCGTTAACGTCGGGCGTCAAAGTGAAGCCAATAAGGTCTGCGGCAACGAAAACTTGCTCCGTCCAGAGACGGCCACTGATGCATGAGGTAAATTTATCTTCCTTGTGACTCCAGCCGCTCAATGCTTGCACCACTGGAAGGGACGAGCCTCGATACAATATCGAGGCAGTCCGCGATGCCCTTCTAATTGGAAATTGTCTAATCGGAGCGTAAACGGTAAGTATGGGCGATCCTTTGATAAAAACGCTTTCGCTAAGCGTAAACCTGATAAGTCCCAGAGTTGGCCTTTCGTGTAACCAGTGATGTTGTTCAGTGTTGATTAGGCTCGAAAGATACAACTGGTCGCTATCATCTAACACCTGATTTTGGTCACGACTCTCACTGTCCAAAGACCCTGCAATTACCCCTTCATCCGGTCCTTTGTGAGATTCCGGAGGTAACACCACATCAAGCGACTCCCCCATATTTTCGGATTTGGTAGATGTGTCTAGGACAGCGAGCTTCTCCAAGGCTTCCGAGACATCGTGAATTTCAGCGTTGGTTCTACTTTTAGGAAGAATCATCTTGCTTTATCAGTGAAAGAGAGCTTTCCCGTTACTTCGAAGTTTCAGAGTGCCTCGAGACGCCTCAAAGAATTCTTTAATGGCAATGAGTTGCCTATGGCTCCATTAAAATAACCATGTAAGATGAGGGGAAAAGAAATGTGGCACCCCGCAGATGTGGCGCAAGCATTCGAAGGTGTAACCCGGCAGTAATTCGGTTTTAATCCGACGTATTTTACAAGAAGTCATACCGCATCAGTAATGCCACGGTACAAGGAAATCATCGATAATTGGAGGATATTTTAGAGAGCACTATTATATATGTAGTAAGATTTAATCCACTTTTCTCACTAGCTTCCTTTACGACAAAGTTGTAATCTGTGTACGAAAGGGAGGGCAGTTTCGGGAATGACTGTAATTCCATATAGCTAATTACAATACAGTAGTCAGCAAAGGAGCTATAATGACTGCCCTTTTATCTGGCCGAAGCGAAAGAACGCGAGTCATTGGATAAGGGTGGACACGTTGTTGCTGTTCGAGCCCTGCTAGCCGTCTTTCAGAGCCTTGCGATCATATGCTGGCATTAATTGACCGTATGTGCCAGTGGTCAACAATACTCCTAAGGTCCCACGACAATCTATGTTTTGTACTGCGACATGTTCCTGGGAGCTACTTTGGTTTGTGCTGGGCATCGAATTAGCTCCCAGGATTCCCAAGTCCGTTCCCGGGCATCAGCTTCCGTGAGGCAGGACTATTGAACCACGCTCTGGGAACTCTTAGAGCTCCCAGGCATGACCAAGGACGCTCCCAGGCGCTCAAGTCTTTCCATGATAAGTCATGGGATCAAGTATGGACTATAAGTGTAGTGGTCGCTACATGGAGCAGGTACAATACAGTGGTTGTTGTAAATATGTGCGATGGCATCTCAAGCCTCCGCTACTACGTACAATCGTTTAATCTGCTCCTTACAAGATCACGCTAAGTTGGGAGTCTACCGCATTCGGCTGGACAATATCGAACACCCTCGGATCCCTCAGAACCGGTTACCGAACGTCAGTCGGCTCAAGGAAACCTTCCTCATCCAAAAATGCTTGCGCCATAATCCGCAGAACTACATCACGGCGACAATCCCGCACGACGTATTTGCGCACCGCAGCTCGGTCAAGCAAGCAAGTGACGGGGTGGATGAACTGTTACTTCGCGCAGAGGACAAAGTCTATTGTTTGCATGGATCCTGCCGAATTCAGGCCGCAAAAACAGTCCTGCGTGACGGAGATCGTTGGTGGACAGTTACACTTTATAAAGAAAACATTGGTGAGATTCCGAGGTAGATTCGGGAGAACGTGTTAACATCCTATTAGATACGAGGGCAAATAGGAATCTTCGCGACGCGTTCGCCAATCAGTTGTCACCTCTTGACGGCACGATATATGTAAACTTACAGAAGAGTCTACAAAACAATGACTTGGCCGAGACGGAACAATGGCGCGCATACTTGACCACCAGCAAGAGACGCTATCTTCGTCAATTGTCCAACACTCATGGAGGCGTCATAGATGCTTTTAACCAGTTATTGTTTATGGAACCCTTGTTCCTAGGAAAGCAGGCATTCCACATTGGCGTTTTCCACAAATTGGGTAATCTTCATTGTGACGAAGTACCGCTCGCATTCTATCGTGATCTGGTTCTATCACTAACCAGGATATCAGGAATTAATTAATTACATCAATGATACAATGCACTTCTGGTCTACTGTCAGTGACCGCGGCGTGTATACCATTAATACAGATTTCATTGAAGCAGTTCAAGGACGTTGTCCCAGATTCTCGCAAAGAGACCACAAGCATATCCAAAAGTTGTTGGAATCAGACGGCCCTCTTAGCAACCTATCACATCAGGCACGAGAACATATTTTTTATATGACAGTTCAATATACTCGCACTATACCTTCACTATTCACCTTTTTCCAGGATTGGAAATATATCCAGATTTGTTGTGAAGTTCTGACTGGATTGCTCGCGGTTGAAGATCGGCCCGTGCGACGCGGCTTAAAAGAATGTTTCGATCCTCTTTTCCGCCAGCCTCAGCACATGGTTGTTCAAATCAATCACGATACTTTTCAGACGTGCTCAGTTCAGGATCGCTCAGACTGCTTTCGGCTTGCCTATTGGCAACTGTGGCTGTGTGCGATGCGATTGTGGCCCTTTTTGCTTGTGCGACGTGGTCGGAAACGCCAGAATTCGGTTGACGAACGCTTCATCACGGCCCACCGAGAGCCGCATTGGTCCCTCATCGCTCGAAATGCGCAGCGGCTGGGCTTTGATTCACCTCACATACAATCGCTCTCGGCGCAAAGCCACTCTGGCGCGCTTGATAACTTGCCACAGTACCAAGGATTAACTGCTGACGTTGATAGCAGTAGCCGGGACCGTTACGGCACACCCTTTAGTGACGAATATTTATCAGATCGGAATTCTCTGTTCCTTCCTAATCTTGTATTGAACTCCAGTGTGCTGGAGGCAATCGGAATTGGCGAGGATGTCACCACTCTCCTTGTGCGAAGATCCTTGTTCTTGAGAATTTTCCCTGACTGCCAAATGCCTAGGCTAGCTTCGACTGTCGCTTCTGAACATAGACAATCGACCCAGCAGGGCCAAGATGGTTCAGGTTTGCCGCAACCTTCTGCGCATGACCACCTCACCCCACCAGATATGGATTGGACAACTCAGTCAAATATAGGTGGGGCAACTCAGTCGACAGACGTACCGCCCACGACTATCGGAGTTTACTACGTTGACGTTTGGAACGGCGAGCGAGGTCTCGTAAGTCAAACTAAGGGAACGAAAGAGCAGTGGATTACAGATCTGCATGGCTTCATTCGCCATAATTTCACTCTGTGGGATTCCGATATCCTGGTCACTGTGGATCCTGAGGGACTTGAGATCTACCCTAAGAGACGGATAATGGCTCTCCCAAGGGGTTTTGATATCGATCAGCTTCGTCGGGCTCGAGGTATGGCAGTTCAATAGTCTCAATTTACGTTCGATCAGTCCCAGTTCCGACCTATTGCCCTGTTCAGCTTTCTAGGAGCGTATTTCCAGATGACACAATCCATCGCCTCCCGGACATTCGAATCTCCCAATTCTACTCAGGCGCGCCGTCACCGGGCTCAAGGAACTGCCAATGACACCAAGTAGTATGGTCAGCAACACTTCTGAGATCTTGAATATCTAGTGGCTGACATCGAAGTTGGAGGAATGCATGCTGAATTAAAGTCAGCAGATCGCACAGTCAAAGAAGTCTGAACACACATCTCTCAAGCCCGAAGCAGGCAGCCGACGGGCACATTCAATAAAATCTATTATTGCTGGGGACCAGTTGTGAGGCTCCCTGACGTGTAGCTCTTCCTCTGAGCCAATGATGACGCTTCTTTCAACTAGCCGCACTATGAGGTTTGCGAGCGCGGCTGTATCGATAAACTGTTTCGATGACGCAATAGATCGCCAGTAAGGGGGATGGGCTGATAAGAGTTCTGAGCAGTTTACATCTCGCCAAGACCTGGAATAGCACTTACCTAAGATAGGCACACAGGAGGGTGGGATTAGGACGAAGGATGAATCAAGTGAGCCGTGCAGCAGGCCCTGTTCCTCAAGCAGCACGAGGCTAATCAATATCTTCCGACGTTAATGTTCAACATTTTGTAACATCCTAGGTTCAGACTTACCTTTTGAGCTATGAAGGCTATATGTGCCTCTGTCGGACGGTCCTGACTTGTGATAATTTGCGAAAGACTAGGCTTGACATACTGAGTAACGACGAACAGTGTCCCAGACCAGTCAAAAGTCTCCCGAACTTGGTCAATGCCTCTCCCCGGGAGAAGACTTAGTTGTTGAATTGCACGTAGATGTTTGTCCTTTTCTGTTGAAGCAATACTTCTGACAGCATAAAGCTGCTGATCGGGTGGGATCGAGCGAGCCATGATGGCAGGACAACCTTGCCGGACTTGAAGAAGTGGTTTAAATTTCTTCCACGGATTCTGGTTTTGTGGTATTTGAAGCTTCAGGATCTCGACGGACCCATGATGAGTCCGAGATTTGGTCGGATTTCGGAGCGAATGTGAATTTGACGTGGCCTGGGTCGAGGCGGCATTGGCCTTGGTGCGTGAGTCGGCAATTTTGGAGGCGATCACGTCCACTTGGTCAATATCTCCTTCACCTCTGCCGTCGGCGTCATCCTCTCCCTCGTCATCTGGCCTCGATCTTTTTCGATCAAAGAAGAAACGTGTATCTCGTCGATCTACGGACGACATTGAGACTGCTTTTGTTTCGGTTTCGTCCCTGAGTGCGCATATTACGGTTTGCTCAAAAGACCGACGGTCGACAATAGATTCATATAGGCCCCATGTCCTCAGTGCAGAATGTCAGTGTGGGAGCAATTTCGCTTTTGCCCAGACGCCATCAGTATGACGATAGGCATAGACTTTTAGTAGGTCTGTTCCAACTGGAAACCGATCATGTGGGAGACCGTGTGAACCGTGATTAAAGATATACCCGAAACTATACGCTTAAGAATGCGGTGTGAGAAGGGGGAGAGATCGAAATTTTAGAGCATCCGTTTGACTCTGTGAATGTCGTCAAGGTTTGCAAGGGTTCGAAACTCCATGAGAAATAGTGGCTGGGGAAGCCGAAAATGTGATTTCGGTGGTAGACAATCAGGTCACGTGATATCCGAGCCTCAATTCCACATGTCGCCTGATTCTGATCCTTCTCCGTAAAAGATCCCGCCGTCCACCACACTATTATGAGGTTGATGTAACCTTTCACTATAGCAGGGCACTGACTGAGAGATCCACAGCACCTCCCAAATTTCGCGTCGCAGTCCTCCTTACCGTACTGTACAGTACAGAACAGCATCATCCTCTCCTTGCAGCATAAAGTACCGTAAATAGTGTTGGCCCTAGTCACGTGTCAGCCAAATCACGTGCAAGATGGAGTCTTGGCACTGCCATCCACTGCCTCATAGCACTTGCCTGTTTTTCATTTTACATCGCATTCTACATAGATTCTAGTTCATAGAGAATGGCATCGTTTCATTGAGTCTGTCAGTTCATCAAATAGATCGCCTTATAGTAAATCCATACTAAAAGACCACCGACGGACACGTTCAACCATACCAGAATCACTCGAAGTCTCGTATTGATGGCGTTTGTGCTGCGGTGTCGAGGGAAGTACGAGGAGACGGAGACGAGAACCCGACGAGCTCTGGCGGGCTACGACAAGGAGCTGGCCGAGAATCATCCCGTTACGTTAACGAGCATCTACAGCCTGGCGTATCTGCTAGATACCCGGCAAGATTTCGAGCAGGCCTTAATTCTCTATAAATGTGTGATGGAAGGCTACAAAGGGGTCTCAGGGGCTGATCATTCCCTTGCTTCAGCTTGTCAAGAACATCTATTGTCGCTGTCAAGGAGGATGGAGTGACTACCCCTTTGATTTCGTAGCTATTCTATCGATGCGAGACTTTTGTACTACAGTACTGTACTTAATTATAGAACCGTTACTTAATCGCTGGAAAAGATGTTAGAATGACCTCGAGTAATGACTATAGAGTATGAACTGCTCAGTCAGCTAACGGCTTTAGAGCCGATAGATTTCAATGCTCCCCCTTGGTTTCAGGGACATATTAAGGCGCTGACACTAACTGACATATAGAGATTTAAGAAAATGCGGGCCGTCGCCGGACACCTAATTTAGAAAAAGAGTATAGTCCTATAAGCTTCATTTGAGTTCTAGGGAAAGAATCACGGATAACGCAGTCTAGTTCAGCGGGCTAAAGAGATGAAGCCGCAAGCTATCTCTTTGGAAGGACTATCAAGCTCCACAAACTGATCTGTTCTCTTCATTTCTGCCGGTTGATAAGGATGACCAGGTCGTGCAGAGGCTATAGGTTCTGTCAAGTATATGGCTCCTCGGTAGCGGATGCTACTAACAGTAACACACGTCAAGATGGATGCAGGTCACCGACCCGCCAGGCTTCGAGAGAATTAGGAATCGCCTAACCTGGAACTGAACCCAGAGAACAGGTGAAGGGGCCGAGTAAGCTTTCGTGGCAGCTGGGAATCCAACAGGCCCCTAGGGTATAAAGAGACAGTCTCCCCACGGCCCTGATCTTCGTCCTCTTTCTTTTTTGCGAATCTCCACCATTGCATTAGTATCTGGAACATAACCAACATAATGCAACTAACTCCCAATCTCGATCATTTTCTCACTATCAATGACTATAACATTAGGGACGACTACACCTTGATTATAGAAGCTGCTCATGGTATGAGACAGAAATTCTCTGCGATATTAAGGCAGGCCCAGCAGTTGAAGACGATATTGGGAGCTAAACAAGTCGAACTCGAACATGAACGACAGCGACTGGAGCTTCGAGCAATCGACGAGACTAGTCGAAACAAGCTGAGACAACAAAGCCGCAGACTGCGACAGTGTCAAAATGACAATCGATCGCTGCGCCGTCAGAATCGAGAACTGGCCAATCATCTGGAAGGCGCGCGAAAGGAATTGGAGAAGGTCGATCATCTTCGGTGCACCCTCTGTACAGTGGCATTTAAGGATACCATACTTCCCTGTGATCACATATCCTGTAGAGAATGCTTGCAGTTGTGGCTAGGCCAAGGCAAAGACTGTCCATGGTGCCGGCGAAGCTTTCAAGCAGGTGATATTCAAGATATCTACCTTGGGTATCCTAGTGAGACTCCGGATGCTCTTGAGGAGGATGGTGAGGTGACGGATGTCATCTCACTGGCTAGCGATAGTGAGTAGAAGGTCTGGTGCTCCGAGGGCCACAGTATAGTATTAAAGCTAGGAAGGCAGCAGATGAAGGTGATAGGAAGTCGACGGATACTTCACTTGTTATCATGGTAGTTAAGTACAGCGCTACACCGCAAGCGAGACAAGAAGGCATTCAATGTATCGGTGACAGTCTCAAGGTGGTAGCAGGAAGGATGAATCATGCGCGATAATAGCTAGGGAGGATTTGCGGAATCGTAATCAAGAAAGGTAGTTTGTTGACAAAGCGGGTAACCCACTTTCTAGATCCTCCCAAGTCAGAAGGACGACGAGACCAAAAGGGTACACTCGGTCTCCTCGATAAGATCCTACACACTAGGCGTGGTGTGATAGTTGGAAGTTGTTCGGGAGACAGTTGGACTTACGTTCTTGGCATGAAAAACAATGGGCGACCAATGATGTATGTGCGGCCGATTTCCAGTCGGCGCTCACCAGTAGAAGGGCACTTCCTCCACCCTGCTTAGATACGCTTGAGGGTTGAAGCTGCAATAGCTGAAGACGAAAATTCCTAACGTAGGTAACTCGGCGGGTGAAAGGCCCTCTTCCCGCAGCCGGACGTCGATATCACCTGAATCTTCGAAGATGAATTCTAAACTTCGGCTGCGACCGCACGATCACTTTGGTCCCCTCTAGCGTTGAACTTCTGCTAGATGTCTATCTCGAAAGTTGACGCCTACATAGCGTCATTTGTCCACAAGCCATCACGCAGACTTTCGATATCGTGCGCCGAGTTGAGGACAGCTCGTATGATTTGACGTTCTAGCAAATCCATCCAATCCGAGCTTTGATGGATATCCCCACGCCTCTTGCTGTAATATATCAACGCACTTCGAGCAAACGCTTCCTCCTTTGAGACCCTAAGTTTTCCTTCGGGAAAGCTTTCTTGAGAGTCTTCTGCGGCTCGTACCCATCGAAACACCAGGTGCGGGTGCCTCGCGAGTTCTCTCCGGTCAGGGAAATCCGAAACGGAGCTGGGAAGCATCAGCCTGAATCTCGTTGCCGATCTGGGAGCTGCTATATATCCAAGCCCATTTAATTCCGAACGCCAACCGCACATGGGACAAAGCATTTTTTTGTCGAAGGTGTTGGTACTGCGATACTGCTCCGAGTACTCATTGCAATGATGCGTTTGCCAGACGTACCGAAATCCTGAGGCTGGCACTGAAGCAACACGCCGCGGCGGTTTCGTGTATACCCAGAACTCCTGAAGGTTGGGAAATTTGTCGAGTTTCAGCTCGGAGAGCTCCCATTCGTTGGAGATAATGACCATTTTCCGGAATTCAAGGCAAGCCGTTTGACAAGTGATAGAATCGTTGAAGCCCTTCACATAGAACATATCGAGCTGAAAGTTGACAGCGTGCTCTCTTATCTTTTTTCCTGATCGGTATCGGACAATGTCTGTCTTCTTTGGCTTGAAATTGCGGCAGATAGCCCAACTATCTTTACAAGCCGTCAGAAGCGAGGCCTCCGTACGAACTGAGCCAATTCGGACGTGGACAATTCGGTCGTCCTTCATGACCACGTGGTTCACAGTATAAATAGAGGAAGAAGAAGAAGAAGCAATGTACCAGATTTGGTTGCGAAGTTCGGCGGGTAACCGAGGAAAAGGATGAAACTGAAGAGATGTTTGAATGTCTGTCTGATCTGCCATTGTGTTTGGTCCTCTTGCCTTTCCCAATTTCGATACTTCTAGAAGGGCCACAGCGCCAGGTGAGAGGAGCTGAGCAATGAGTGGGAAGATTCGGAGTCTTCGGGGAAACAACGGAGAGGGTAGTGCTGGACCAAGAGTCGGGAATTGTCAATACCTCGACGATGACGTTGGTCGGGTGGCAGGACAGAAGGAAAGAAGAGAGAAGAGAAGAGGAGGTAGGCAGGGCTCTGTCTGGCTTTATACTTCGCCTGGCTGATTAGTCGTCGTACGTGCTCCCGACAGCAACCCTAACACTACTCCAGTCTTGAATGGCTGGCAAATGTTGGAGGTTTGTTCAGGTGCCAGCCAAATCATTTGCTCGATGAGTTTGGCATTCGCTGTCAACCCACTCTCTCATTTCACAATTGCATCCTTTATTGATCATACTATGGATTACCCTGCAATCGACATATCCGGTTCATAAAGTGTATCTCGACATAGATCTACTGTCAATACCACCTGCAGAGTACATGTTGGCATCCTCTACAATTGCACCATCCAAGGGAAGGTTAGGTTGATGTGGACTCTCCGTCGTTCTCATTTTAGTTCCAATTGAGGGCAACTGGGGCACGACCTTGGGGGATGACCGGCCATCGCCTTCAGACCATGCGGGATCCAGGAAAGCTTCCCCAGTCAAGTCCTCGTACAAATTCTTTTCTGCTTCCTTGACTTTCCACTCGACTGGTATCAGATCACTCTCATACATATCATGATTGATATACTGCGCATCGATTTCTTCTATGACCTCTTTCAGAGCCCGCAAGTCTGCTTGTGACATCGCCTTGAAGTTTAATCCCTCGAACCAACATTCGTGTTATGTCTTGCAGGCGCCTCGTGCTGGATTTCACCTTGTTTTTTTATCCCTGGTGTGAAGTCTAAGCATCTGAGCATCGGTCCGCAGATCGTAGAGAGATTTGAATCGGTGGAGGAATTGTGTCAATTTGTCCACGTGTGGGGTTGGTGTTTGCCCCGCTAGAACTTCATCGCCGCGGGTTGATATGGACTCTTCACCTTGGCCATGATACCCGAAACTGTGGTCGAGCCAATCTGCACCATATCCAACGGGCGAATTGCCTTGCGTGACTCCTAGGTATACCAAAGGTGGTCTCGGGAGATAATCTTTATGTTTTTGTGAAATTAGTGTACTGTAACGCTTTAAACACCTTATCACGAACATAGGGGCGAACGCGACGGAAGTACTGTTAGTGAGCAGCAGGTTCGAGTCTCGTACGCATCAACGGATCTACAAGCGGACACTATCTACTATAGCTAGTATCTGTATTACATGCCGGTATTAGGAATACTCCATCATACACCTAATAAGTCATGACTTTTTCCATATGCTTTACGAATACTTATATAGTGCTGTATCCTCAATACCACCTTACAAGGTATCTGTCACTGATTTGTGGATAAAGTGGAGCTGAGCATTCCCGATTTAGAGATCTCTGACCCACAGGTAAGTGTGGTTCGAGTTGAAGAAGTCCAATATATGTCCGGCAGGGGGTTGGCAGGTTTCGGGAGGATCTGTACAGCATCGATGCATAGCAGTGCATAGGGTCAATCCACCGGAATTGTAAGGATGTAACCAGGACATGGCGGAAGGCTTGAGTCTTAAACTCCCGTGGTGTCTTTTGCCGGTTGTCAGAGTCAACGAGATGCTCCTCGAGTTCGCATTTTTTGGCCCCCAAAACTCAACACGTCACAATACGTGCGGCGAAGGGTACAACGTAAATACAGTAGTAGCGCTCAACCTAACTTCGTGACGCGACGGCTGCTGGCGCGATAAGATCTCCTGCTTGTGCTCCACGGCTTCCGAGTATCGGTACATACCTACGTAGGGTTCTCCCTTATACGGCTCATATGAGTCTAACTCATAGCATGAATTGCAAGGCCTAGGGTCATTCCGAGGATTTATAATTAAATACACTAGGCTTGATCTTGTCGTCTCCTCTGGTTTGCGCAATTTTATCAATATATGGGAAGAGAGATCCACTAAATCCCGAATGCAGCGAATTGGTGAAAGCCTTGACAGTCCCTAGAACCAGATTGTACTTGTAGTACTGTAGCGCCAGCACTGCCACGGTTTTCTTTCAGAATAACACAGTAATCTACTAGATAAACCCCTAATTACGACGTGAATGGACCACGGTAAACTGACGACTTCATTTGGCCTGGACCTGAATGTTGGTCTAGACCATTTTGGATATCTAAAAGATCTATCGGGGTAGCCATTACCTGAAACTGAGTGTAGCAGTGGTTGTCTTATTCCAAACATCTATTCGGTTTATTCTGTTCTCGGAGATAAAGCAGTCGCAGAACCTTGCGCTTGTATATGAGACCGGTCAACCACGCGTGCTGTGGTGTTCGAAAGTTTTACTGTGGGGCTTCGAGCCTTGGCGTCAGATGCTCGAGTCTCCGGTCGAACATGAGCCAGACTTGAGCAAACTGCCATTCAAAGGGCTATGCGTGACCGTATCTTAACATCAGAACTTTTGTGGTGTGTCGAGATATTCACGGTTTTCTGTTGTCGAGTGATTCAAATGACTTCGCTGGCTGTCGTCCACCTTCGCCTGACCTTTTCCATATCGGTGATGAGGAATACCACGCTCGATACATCACACTCTCACCCCTTCGTAACGCCTATACCCATGCGTCTACTTCCAGGATTTTGCAAAGAAGTCATCTTTGCCAAAGTTACGGACACCACTCCGCCTTAGGCTTTTAGGCACGGACGAAAACTGATTGTAACAGCCGATTCAAGACCTTGTAAGGAGGAAGAGTCGACGGACAGGCAGTCCATCAGCAGGTTGATTGGGCGTTCGATTCGGACTTCCCCCATGCACCAAGGTAAGTGACAAGGGGATTAGTCTTTCATTGCCACAGACCAAACACTTCAACCATCCAATAAGGACCACGACGAGATGACACCACGACGACAGCGTGGGATGGTCACACCGGTGACCACGTCATCGTTGTGCCGAGACCAGCGTCGCCTAACGTCCTGCTGGCTACTTAAGTCTCGGACGTCGCCCACCCACCTCCTCTACAACCCTCTTTCCTTTCTCTCCGCAACATGGCCTCCCGTCGCACCGCTGCGTCCGTATCAGAACAATTTCTGGCGCCATGGTCACCCGAAGCTCTTATCGCTGAAGTCTACTCACTCGCAGAGGAGAAAGGGTTTTACACACGTTGGACGTCGGTCCTGTCGGCTAAGCTGAAGATTCAGCTCCCTAATGGAGATTCCGACTTGAACTCGTGTCTACAGGAGGCCCCGAAAGAAGATCTCATCGCTTGTGTTACGGCCCTCCGTACCGAGCTAGAAGCCAGCACACGTGTAAGATCACAACGGAAGACCTGTCGAAGGCGACTCTCAGTCACCAAACGACGGACCAGTCAGGAGAAGCGCCAAGCCAGAGAAAAAAGAAGCAAAACGCAGGCCAAAGTCACGCCTCAAGATATGGGAGACCCGCTCGGAGTGGCCCAACCCAGGCAAAGTATGGATGTCGAGCTACAAAAGGTGGAAAATCAGGAGACCAGAGTCGTCCAGATTAAAGAAGTATTGGCCGTGCAGCACATGCAACAGCAGAAGTTCACTTCTTTCGAGGCTCAATTTGGCGAAATGAAGATTAAAACGGAAGCCTACCATCAGCAGCTACTGGGAGAGTTGAAGATGACCCAGCAGACCATCGATTCGGCCGTAACAGCATTGCAAGCTGATCGCACAATACAAGCTTTGGTAGGAGGGGACTTTATTGATATCCGTCGCTGCATGGAAGAGCAGGCACTTGCCATGCGTGAGAATGACGAACAGCTCAGGGAGGCCCGACGGCTGATCGATGAACATCGTGCCGAAATCAGATATCTCAAAACCCAGCTCGACAAAAATCAGAAAGAGATCCAACAGGGATGCGTGGGGAAACCGACGTCAGTTACCTCTGCCGATGCTTTTTCAGAGGCGAACACAGACGGCGACAAAGCGACTGTGTCAACTTCCTCGGCCGAATCGACACAGTTACAAGGAAGCTATCCTGCGGAAACAACTCAATCGCATAGTATTTTTGCATCAAGTTCGCTTTCCACATCATCAGCAGCAGGAATACTTGCTGGCATGTCTCAAACCTCGAAGTCGTCGGATGGTAACATGGCTCCATCGGATCCGATCGCTGTAAACTCCCAATATACACCAATATTTACGGAAACACAGCAAGTACATGAGGGACTACTGAGTGATGTCGGATTGGAAGACTATTTTCACTACACCATCGACTCCGGTAGCAGTGATCTTCGCGGCATCTCGGCGGGAACAACTCCCAAATGCTGTGGTCGGATTCCGCATGCTTTAACTGACCGAGGCTGCATCCTCTGCGACCAGCACTGTTTGCAATTCACTATGATGACTCCTCAGCAGATGGGCACGGTTCTGAGGCCTGGTTTCTGTTGCCCAGCCTGCTCCGACCGAGGCTGTAAATATGCGGTGGCGCTGGATATTTCCTACGTTGAGGTTCAGAGGCCTAAATCTATTTCTGGATATTGAGGGGCAAGTGTTTCTAATGTCAATGGCGCGGCATAGAAGTCAATTAGTCATTTATTGAGTCGTTTCTGGTGAGTCGAGGCGATTTTCCCTTACCCAAACCATAGGGGGACTCTAAGTATTTCAACTGTATTCCCTATTACACGGCCAGGCTCTGGATAGGCTTTGAAAGTATTCAAATGCGTGATGAGCCAAACAACTTTTGCTCTGATTACAGGATTTCTGCAATTTCTTTCTGGAAGGCGGATATATACTTCTGAAAATCACTGAGCTTTGTATGTGCCGCCTCAATTCGTCGTTTAAAGTCTTCTATCTCTCGCCCGCGATCATCCCATTGCAAACTGATGTTTGCGAGCTGTTCATCCCTTGCTTCGATTAACTGCTTGTGCTCCCTCAGTTGAATTGATTGGATTTCAGTGCGCTCAGTGAGCTCGCTAATAAGGGATGAAAAGCTTCGAGGGTTTGTGAGGTCGCGACGGGTTCGGGAATGGGAGTTGTCTGAGATTCCGTGCTCGGTTAGCACCGCCTTTGGCACCCCAGGTAGTGTGGCGTGAATGGATTTGCCGATCTCTGAGGCGATTTCTTTGCATGCTGCAATATTGTGTTTGCTAATTTGCTTTTGGAATAAATGCTGTCGTTCGGGCAGATAATCCCACTCGTATACGGTGTCCGGTCCTGAAACTAGGCGTACCTCGCTTGGCGCCACTTCAATGCCCAGGCGTGTTTCTAGTTATCAATTCAAGTTCTTCAGTAAAGATATAGGCACGTACTAATGTGTTCTGAGAGCAGACTACGACACTTTGAGCGCCACTCGGCTCTGCGTTGATTTGCTGGCCTCTGAATATTAGAATTCATGGATATAGACTTTGGAGGACGACTATCTGGACTACTCTATGTAAATCCTGTAGTTTAAAGCTTGTCGAATTTTATATCGCCACAATAGTTTGTGAGCGGTACTATTCCATAGGAATCCATGGTCAGAAATGAACAGACCTTTCTCAATACTCTAATATATGTTGTCGAACGCCACATAGTGCGTCAGACTGCGCAGCTCCACTGAATGAAATTCTCAGGATATAAACCACGTACAGGACATCCCCTTTGAAATTTATCTTTATTCCACGTAGCCGAAATGTCCGAGACACCATCTGACTGTGGGAGCTGTAACGCCTTGATGTCCCATTTGTCCAAAGCAAATTGTGATCTTCAGTGGTGCTTGATCCGGCTCAACCAAGAACGCACTCGAAACTCGCATTTATCCTCGTACGTTGCTTTTCTGGAAACGACGCTCGCGGAGAGCCAAGCTACTCTTCAATGCGCCATGACCATTCTGCACCAAACCTCGAATACACAAACCAACGTCCAATTAAGGGAAACGTCATTAGCTCAAAGTTCTCACTCCGACGAGGTCGTCCGTACCGATTAAGAGTTAGAAGTGCAAGGGTAGATCAGGATCTCGGATTGTGCCACGGTAAGCGAAATATCCACAGAACACATTCGAAAACAAAAACATCAGTTCATGCAATATTGTGTAGTTGGAAATCAAGCTAACCTCCGAGATAGATGGGCGTGTTAACAAAAACATCATGCCGAATTGGTGACAGTGTGAGGAAGACGGATCCAGTCTTACCGCTTAAACGTTCCAATCTTCGACTACCAATTGTAACAAACGTCATGTAACCCTTACAATATACAGTAATGTATATCTATACAGCAATTGGTTTTGAAAATTCACAGCTCGCGTACTCATTGCCCTCTAGAATTGGGACGATTTCTATCCCACGTCTTCCAATAAATGGTTCTGGGGTGTTCTGTTCTGACAACACAGTAGCGTACCTACTTTTGAACCGAACTCTTCACCTATCAAGTGGTCTGCATTAGCCTGCATTACGCGTGATGCATCCGCTAGAGCTCAAACGAAGTTTACTTGTGCTCCTGCAGGAAACCCGAAGCAGATGAGAGGGCCCGCATTTTTCTGGATCCGTACCCGCCAATTGGTGTGCAGCGCTTTCACATGTCCACAGATTCCGAGGGGGTAAGCATTGGAACATACCAGGACCGGCTCCAAAACCATTGGTTGACCGAGGAGTTCATGCGATACTCGTGGTCATTCTGACACCCCTTCCAGCGATTAAGCAACATTTAAATGATTGAACTATTGGTCTCGGCGCATATACTGCAACGATGAACCAGGTTCTCAGTTATATCGATCGTTGAAATAGGCACAGTACTGTATTAATGCTGCGCAGACCTTGTTCTTTAAACTGCAATCCTTATGTTCTCATCCTTTGATCGATAAGAAAGATCGAGATGTCCAGCACAGGCAGCCATGCCGGGACCTCGCCCACCCCTGGTTCCTCACAAATCGCCAAGGTACGCGAACTGGCCATCGAGGAGCAGGTACACAATGACGGCGCCGTCGAGCAACGAATACTAGACCCAGTCAGTAAGTGCTTACAGAGAGCCAGACATCCAACCACTCTAGAGGCAGAGGCCCACGCTGCGTGGCGTATGGCCAGTCGGCTTATGGCTCAGTACGACGTAACGCAGTCTGATCTACTGGAGTCAGCTATCGACAATGACGACTACGCTGCCCTAGGAGGGCAGTCTGTGGTTGAGATCACCAGTACTAAAGATGATGAAAAAAGAATTATCAGCCAAACTTGGGTTCTCGACGTCGCCCGCGCGATGGGTATCTTCTTCGAGTGCAAAAGTTTCTCCACGCGCCGTCTGACATCCATTGAATGGACCTTTTATGGGATCGCTGCGAACACAGTCGCCGCTGCAAAAGCATTTGAGGTGGCCCATAATCTCAAACTTGAATGGGCTAGAAATAAGACCGGTAAGAATGTAAAACACCGCTATTGTTTAGGCATTGGTAGTGGCCTGGTGAGAATCGCTCGAAAGCAGAAGAGCGAGGAAAAAAGGGAAGCGGAAGAGAGGGAGAAAAGACCCTGGCAAAGCCTTCAGGGGGGAAACATTTTCCAAACCCTTACAAGTCCATAAACAGCATAAGGACTCAGCCGCATTCCCACGAGCTAATAGGGATCCGTACTCGGAGAAGGATGACAAACGACAGATAGAATTTCAGAGCCCCAACAGAGTATGTATTTCTTGTACCCTGTAACTTGTTTTGGCTTGATTCACATCACCCAGGTTTTGGGACGAAGTGTAAAACGATCTCAGCCCGCCAGCGGAGAGATAAAGCCTCTTGCTGGGAATATAATCAAGTTCGGCTCAACGAAGAAGGGTTTTACGGAAAAGGGCTTCCTCTCAAGAGATACCCTAGTTTTGGGCGTTTTAAGGCTGGAAATTTCCTTATGATGAGCTAATGTGCTGCGAAATAAGGCTTGATACTCACAATAAGAGCGGTGTGAAAAATATCGTTGCAGCTTGATCAAGCAGGAATTATTATGTGTGCCAGCAAAGTCGGCTAGGACAGGTTTCTATGGTCGTCGAAGCGTAAGCCTGTACTATACTGTAATGAATCTAAGAACATGGGACCTTATCCTTATTAAGTGTTTGGACCCGCGCGGGATTTATATTCTTCGGATTGCTCTACGACCTTCTATGCCTCGATCTTCCATCCCGCATGTCGAAAGTGACCCTCTGCGGCCTTCTGGTCAGCTCCGACGATATCAACACACCACTGCAGGAACTGACCGAAGTCTTGGCCTGGATTCTCGAGGTACAAGTGGAAATTTTTCTTTATAAATGCTTTCAACTGTGCAAACCACTCTTCCACAGGATTCAGGTCTGGTGAATATGGGGAAAGATAAAGCAACTTCACGCCTGCTTCATCACACATCTCCTGAACCCGTGGCCCGCGATGAAGTGCTGCATTGTCCATTACAAGTACCGAGCGTGGTTCAGGCCACCTGCCACAACGAGGGAGGAGTTGTTCCAGGAACGCCTCGAAGACAGCGCCATCAGTGGTGCCTTGGTAAATGTGGGCATACAAAACTCCGTCACAGGTGAAGGCCGGCAGGATATCGTTGGCCTCGCTGAAACCGAGCAATCTGGACAGGTGTCACTCCCAAGGGAGACCAGCCAGTTCGACGAAAGCCCGCGGTGTTATCGCAGCCAGTCTCGTCCACGTACACGAGGTGATCCTTATCAAATGAGGATAGATCGTGGAGATACATATCACGCAGATCTGGACATTGCTCCATCGCTATTCTACGAGCCACCTTTTTTGACCAACCAGCCTTCCTCAGAGCCCGGCCTATGGTAGATGTGGAGAGCGTTTCGCCAAAGTTGTCGAATAGGAAGATGGCCATCTCATCCTGCTGCAGACAGGGTTTCTGGCCGAGGAGGGTGAGGAGTGCTTTGAGCATCGGATCGGTCATAGAACGCGGACGTCCGCCATACCCATTGTACGGCGCTTTTGTACTGCCAAAGCGTTGAGGTTTGTGCGGTACGCACTGACTGTCCGAGAACTGAAAATCGGCCACATCTGCTATCTGGTGGTTTGTCAGTGAAGTCTCTTCTATCATTCCTCGAATCTCCATCCGCTGTGAGGCTGAGATGTTTGGTGCCATAGTCACCGCACCCCGGTTGTAAGCATTGGAGCAGGCTTCCCATCAAACTTCTGCCTACAGGAAGATTGAGATGATTTCAGAGAGAGAGAGAATCTTTTCAAAGCCTGGCAGACAGGCTGCACCATTTCATGAAGCGAATTCAGCACACATTACAGTAGCAGGCTGTTCCATTTCTCTCGACGATTCGGGTCCCGACGATATGTGAAATTGGACAATTCCAGAGTGAGGGTGGTTTCACTTCCTGAATCGTCACGAGACCGTCACGTGCAGCCTTTCTTGGCGACGCCTATCACGTGATAATTTTGCCATCCAACTGTGGCTATGCTATAGCTAATGCTCAGCCACAGCCTCAGCTGTTGTCGACCTTCTCGCGCATCCGATGCCCCAGCCTAAGCTCTGTCTCCTCTTGGAAACACAACGCTTCTTCGTTATACCTACTCTCGATCTACAGCATCTGTTTGACTCGCTATTCGATCCCCCTGATGATCTGGAATGTCGATTGCACCGCCAAAAAGTAGACGCGAGGCCGTGCGTCGCTGGTTCCGCCGCTCCGACCCGATCGTGCCCCTCCCGCCGTCATCCGCAGTCCTGGTCCCAAACCCACCGCCAAGCTCTACTCAGTTGCCCTTCGAAGACCGCGTACTCTCACTGTTATCGCAGCAAGATCAGGACATAATTCGCCCACACCTCGTGTCCTTGACTGGTGACATTGATTCCGTGATTCGGAGTACATTCACCGCCACACAACAGGCACAAGCGATCAGCCAAGCGAAGAGATGGACAACGACATTCCGCGGCCGTACGATTGTCGTGCGGGAAGAGGTGGATAAGATTGTGGCATGGTTGGACCGGTTCAAGGATGTCGGGGACTTGGCTGCTAGTACTGATCCTGTGCATGTCGGGCTGCCGTGGGCGGGCATTCGTCTTTTGCTCGAGGTGAGTATGCAAGAAAGCGAGGGTCTTCAACCTCATGAGTAACATTCACACGCTAACGAGGCGCAGGTGGCCACCTCTGAACATAACCAGACGGCGGCCCTTGTTCTTGGAGTCGAAACTGCTCTCTACCTGTCAAACCGCTTGCGTGTGTACATGGCCTTTTTGGCTAGGTTGGCAGATACGCCAGCACGTCAGAACTTTGCGGCATGCCTTCTGGAGTTTCACGCGATGATCCTTCGATTCCTGGCCCAAGCGATCCGGATCTATCAACAAGGAAGCATGGCTCGTGGATTCAAAGCTTTTTGGCACGTCGAGGATATTTTGCAGTTCCAGGACAATTGTTACAAGATAGCGAGTCGGGCCGATATTGAAGCGAACAATTGCGATCGAGATGTTGTCCAAAAAATTGAAACGCAGCTACAATCTCTTGAATTGGTTCGGAACGGCATCGACAGGATCGAAAGAAAACTCGACAGGCTCTCAACGAAGGTGGACCTGAAGCTCCCTGTGGCGATTGGTGCGGCCTTTAATTCCTATCAAGATGAACTCGACGCGCGATGCCTCCCAGGTACTCGAGTCGACCTCCTCCAATCCATTGATGACTGGTCCAATCAAGACCGAAGCGAGCCTATCTTTTGGCTCAGTGGCATGGCCGGTACGGGGAAATCGACCATCTCTCGCACGGTGGCACAAACATTCTTTGACCGAAGTCAGCTGGGGGCCAGTTTCTTCTTCAAACGAGGCGAAGCCGACCGTGGAAATGCGAGTCTGTTCTTCTCGACGATTGCGGGCGACCTGATTTGTCAGGAATCCGCATTACAGGAGTATGTTCAGCAAGCAATCGAAGTTGATCCGGGTATCACGAGCCGGACGCTCAAGGAGCAATTTGACCACTTAATCTTTCAGCCCCTCGCGTCTCTCCAACCCATGCCGGCAACGAAGCTGATCATTGTCATCGACGCTCTCGACGAATGCGAGAGAGAGGGAGATATACGCACCATCATCGCTCTTCTGGCTCGCCTGCGAGAGCTAGGCACGATCCGCTTACGGGTCTTCCTGACGAGCCGGCCTAAATTACCAATTCGTCTTGGATTCACGCAGCTAAATGAGGGTAGCCATCGAGACGTCATTCTACACGAAATTCCGCCCTCCATTATCAAACATGATATCTCCATGTATCTTCGGCATGAATTTACGCTTATCCGAAAAATTCATGGCTCTCTTGCCACTGCATTCCAATCATTGGATCCCTCTTGGCCCGGCACGGACGTATTGGCCGACCTAACTCGACTTTCGGTGCCACTTTTTATCGTTGCTGCCACCATATGCCGGTTTATCGGAGAGTTAAAAGGTAACCCCGTTAAGCGGTTGGAAAAGATATTGCGTCAGCCGGTGGGAGAAAGGTCCCAATTAGAGCGAACCTATCTCCCCATTCTCGGCCAGATACTCACCGGTGAAGATGATGAAGAAATCAACGATATCCGCCAAAGTTTTCGTAGTATTGTCGGATCGATTGTCCTTCTTGCGAACCCTCTCTCTGCTGTATCTGTCACCAAGTTACTCAATGTGCCGCTCCCTGATGTGAACGAACTTCTCCAATCTCTCCATTCTGTGCTCTGGGTGCCCGCCGACCCTGACGCACCCATTCGCCTTCTCCATCTCTCCTTTCGCGAATTCCTGGTGAAGAAAAGCCATGGCGACTCAGGGCAACAGATGACGATCGATGAATGCTCGACACATGGAGAGCTAGCTGACCGATGCCTCATTGTCCTTCGGAGCTCTGACGGGTTACGGAAGGATCTCTGCCAACTCCAGCAGCCTGGGGCGCTTCAAGAATCGATTGAGCGTACTACTATCGAGAGACATATTCCTCCGCATGTTCAGTACGCGTGTCGCTACTGGATTCACCATGTGCAAGCTAGTGGACGAAAGATCCACGATGGAGATCAAGTGGACATCTTCCTCCGTAAACACTTTCTCCATTGGCTGGAGTGCCTCAGCCTTCTTGGGTATATGTCGGAGAGTATCAGCATGATCGGTAGCTTAAGATCTATTGCGGCCGAAGTTGATAGCTATTTCGCGGCCTTTATTGACGACGCTCGACGATTCATTCTCACTTATCATTTCGTCATTACGCAGGCGCCCCCCCAAGTTTATGGCGCCGCTTTGCATTTTAGCCCCTCACAAAGCATCACTCGCCAAATCTTCCCTGAACAAAAATACAGCGGTGTCGAAGTCCTGAGCGACATACCTAAGCAATGGAGTTCATGTCTACAAACATATGAAGGTCATTCCGACGCGGTCATCAGCGCGGTGTTCTCACCTGACGGATCACTCATGGCATCGGGCTCCTACGATAACACGGTGCGGATATGGGATGTGCAGACGGGTCAGTGTCGACATCAACTTGAAGGCCATTCTCATTCGGTCACCAGCGTGGCGTTCTCACACGACGGATCACTCGTGGTATCGGGCTCCTACGACAAGACAGTGCGAGTGTGGGATGTTCAGACGGGTCAGTGTCGACATCAGCTTGAAGGCCATTGTGACGGGGTCACCAGCGTGATGTTCTCGCCCGATGGATCACTAGTGGCATCGGGCTCTCGGGACAAGACGGTGCGGATATGGGATGTTCAGACGGGTCAGTGTCGACATCAGCTCGAAGGCCATTGTGACGAGGTCACCAGCGTGGTGTTCTCACCCGACGGATCACTCGTGGCATCGGGCTCCTGGGACAAGACGGTGCGGATATGGGATGTTCAGACGGGTCAGTGTCGACATCAGCTTGAAGGCCATTCCGACTGGGTCAACAGTGTGGTGTTCTCACCCGACGGATCACTCGTGGCATCGGGCTCCTGGGACAAGATGGTGCGGATATGGGATACTATTAACGCGACAGGAGTAGCATGCCACCATTCAGGAACTCATCAAAACGAAATCAAATTTAATGGTGCTAACTCGAACATTTGGATTAACGGCTATCCTCTGACTCTGCCATCACAAGCACGACCATCACGATTGGCTAGTCAACCATTATCGGCCAATAGAAGTGTGCGTAGCAGCTTAGGTATCACTAACCGATGGATAGTCCGGAATTCTGAGAGGATCTTGTGGCTGCCTCCTGAATATCGCCCGGGACGCTGGACATGTTTTGCGAAGTATATCGCGATAGGAACCGACTCCGGTCGTGTCGTCATTATCCGCTATCTGGACGAAGGAGAGGTGTGAGCGATACTTAAAGTATTCTGACGTCAGCGGTACAACTTGTACCATGCTTAGGCGTGGCGACTCTGAATTTCGCTCCATACAATGGTAATGGTCAAGACAATCGACTCTTCAATGTCAACCCCGTCTGACTGGAGCAATGAATACGTTGCAATATTATGTCCTGTAACCTGAATACTAATCCAGACCTGGTTGGCTGCCAGTGCCCCACCACCGCGAAAGTCGCAGCGAATGATCATCCTTGCGTAGTTTCCACAGGTCGAGAAAAAAAAAACTACTTTCTTATGTTTTGGGTGGAAACCGGTTTTGCATGCCTCTGTACAGGACCTGAAAAAAAAAAATCGATTACTGTAGAGCGATAGAATTGTGCACGCGACTGTATCTCCAGAGATCTGTGGTAAGGCCCTTACGAAATAAGGAAGGTCCAATCATCACTGTATTTGTCGGGATACTAGACACAAGCATACTGTGACGTGCATCAGACGCGTCGTGGGAGACCCCGAAACTTGACGCGGCCGACGCGTGCTAGCGTCGGCAGCTCCCGATTGGAAGATGCCGACCACGCGCAGTGCAGCAGCGCCGGTGACACCAAAGCGACAACGAGCACCCTCGAACAGAGCGAGAAAGCCGAGTGCTAAGGCGCTTCAACAGAGTAGAGGAGATGAGTCAGATCTGGAGACAATCTCGGTGGCGGCTGAGGAAGATGGATTGTGGACACCACCGCGAGCGGAACCCAAGAGGGTCACCAGGGAGTATGCAAAACAAGCGAACGACAACGCCATCTTCACGGGCGGTGAAGAGAGCCCCAGGTTCGAGTTGGCCAGCGGAAGAGAGAGAACAGGGACAAGACGCGACGAGCTCGTGGGGCTCATCCTGACCCTTAAGGAGACCATCACTCGGCAGACCAACCTCATCGAGAAGCAGAACGACACCATCGAGATCATCCGAGCTGACCTGACAGACGTTAAAGAAGAACAGCAGAACCTCACGAGACAAAATGCCGAACTACAGGAGCAAGTCCATTCCCTACAGGCACAAGTCCGCACCATCACCGCGTGTCCTCCTCCTGCGCGATCCTGGGCATCTGTAGCGGGATACCCAAACAGAGCAGGACCCACGCAACTGACACAGAACGTGACGGCCTCCACCAATAAGCACGACACAAGACGAGTCCTCGATCCCCTGACCATGACGGATGCACTATACTGCGTGGTCGACACCTCGAGAGTGGCGGAAGAAGACACCGAGAAGACTTCATCCGGCGCGATCAGAGCGGCGGTGGAAAAAGAGATGCGAGCCACGAATGGACAAAACAACTGGCGCTGCCGAGCAGTGACCAGAGATGCCAGGAACACGAACCGAGTTCGAATCGCCTGCAGGGATGAGTCTGAACAACAGATGATCAGGCAAGCGGCAGAGACGAAGATCGCAGCCGGCATCAGAGTGCTGAGAGACGAACTCTACCCAATCAAGGTGGATAATGTCAACCGACTGGCGGTCCTGGACGAACATGGAGAAATCCGGACGGGAGCAGCAGAGGCTTTTGGCCGAGAGAACGAAACCACGGTGGCCAAGGTGGCATGGCTGAGCAAGAAGAACGTCGCCAAAGCATATGGGTCCATGGTGGTATACCTGACGAAAGGCAGCGAGGCCAGTCGCCTTCTGCGGGAGGGTTTCTTCCATGTCGCGGGGGAATCCGGCTATACGGGGGTGTTCGAACGACGGCCGCGGCCAGAGCAATGCTTTAATTGTCAAGAGCTTGGGCATAAGGCCTTCCAGTGTAAGAACGCTCAGAGATGCGCAAGATGCGCCAACGGAGGTCATCGCCATCGTGAATGCACCGAGCTCGTCTTGAAGTGTGTCCCGTGTGGAGGACCCCACGAATCGTTCAGCCGAAACTGCCGGATGCTCTACCCATCCCGACATGAGTAAAGCATTTCGTATGATCCAGCTTAATGTGAGAAAACAAGCCGAGGTACATGACAGCCTGATGAATGACGAGGAGATAAGAAGTGCAGCGGTCCTGGCGATCCAGGAGCCCCATGCAAGGAGGATCCAGGGCCGACTGTTGACGACACCTATGAGTCACCACCGATGGACCAAGATGGTCCCCTCTGTATGGAGAGAAGGGAGATGGCCAATCCGAAGCATGTTATGGGTCAACAAAGAGGTGGAAGCGGAGCAGGTACGGATTGAGTGCCCGGACATGACGGCAGCAGTGGTCAGACTCCCAGACCGGCAGATGCTGGTGGTATCGGTCTACGTACCGAGAGAAGACCGGCAGGCTCTTCGGGAGACATGTGACAGCCTGCGCAAGGCTGTGGCTGGTGTGAGGAGGGACACAGGCGCGGTGGTTGAGGTGGTGATTGCGGGAGATTTCAATCGACATGACCAACTCTGGGGAGGAGACGACGTTTCTCTGGAGAGGCAGGGCGAAGGCGATCGGATCATCGATCTGATTAGCGACCTCGCTCTGAGTAGCTTGCTCCCACGTGGGACGAAGACGTGGCGCGGAGGAGAATACGAAACTACAATTGACCTGGTCCTCGCTTCCGAAGAACTGGCGGCATCAACCATTAAGTGCGCGATCCACGGGACCGAGCATGGGTCTGACCACCGTGCGATAGAGACGGAATTTGACGTCTCGGTCCCAACACCAAAGCCACAGGAGCGGTTGCTGCTCAAAAATGCACCATGGAAGGACATCAATACCAGAATCACACAGACACTGGGTGTGAGGGCGTCAGAAGGAACAGTACAGCAACAGACCGATACACTCATGTCGGCGGAGTTGGAGGCAGTACACGCTCTAACACCGAAGGCTCGGCCATGGCCATACGCGAAGCGGTGGTGGACGTCTGATTTGACACAGTTGAGGCGCATCTACACCTACTGGAGAAACCGTGCTCGGAGCGAGCGTCGGGCAGGGCAGACTATCGCCAGCCTGGAGGAAACCGCCAAAGCAGCGGCAAAACAATACCACGACGCCATCCGACAACAAAAGAAGAAACACTGGAACGAATTTCTCGCGGACAATGACAACATCTGGAAGGCAGCGAAGTACCTCAAATCGGGTGACGAAAGCGCGTTTGGGAGAGTCCCACAACTAGTGAGACAGGATGGAACCATCACAACCAACCAGGAGGGACAGGCAGAGGAGCTGCTGAGCACCTTCTTTCCTCCTCTACCAGATGACATCGAAGACGAAGGCTCCCGACCACAGAGAGCCCCCGTTCCCATGCCCACGATCACCATGGAAGAAGTGGAGCGACAACTGTGGGCCACCAAGTCGTGGAAGGCACCCGGGGAGGACGGCCTCCCGGCAGTGGTCTGGAAGCAGGTGTGGCCCGCGGTCAAGCATCACGTGCTAGCGCTCTTTCGAGCATCTCTCGACGAGGGAACACTGCCTAGTCAGTGGAAGCATGCGAAGATCATACCATTGAAGAAGCCTGGCAAGGACAATTATACGCTCGCCAAGACGTGGAGACCGATCTCCCTCCTGGCGACTTTGGGCAAGATACTGGAATCAGTCATGGCGGAGAGGATTTCCTACGTGGTCGAGACCTATGGTCTCCTCCCGACCAACCACTTTGGGGCGCGGAAACAGCGATCCGCCGAACAGGCCCTCCTGCTGCTGCAAGAACAGATCCTCACTGCTTGGCGAGGCAGGAACATTCTGAGCTTGATCAGCTTTGACGTGAAAGGGGCCTACAATGGGGTTTGTAAAGAAAGATTGATCCAGAGGATGAAGGCGCGAGGTATACCGGAGAAAGTCCTGCGGTGGGTAGAGGCCTTCTGCTCCGAACGCACAGCAACGATCCAGATCAATGGGCAACCCTCCGAGGTTCGAAGTCTACCACAGGCCGGCTTGCCGCAAGGACTTGTTAATGTGATTCTTCAAGTGTATCCTATTAACCTATGAGCTTCTAGGTACTTATATACTCGTAGGCTTGGTCTGCCTATCTAGGCAGCCAAGCCACAGACTCCATCGTGGCGTGTATGCCTACTAGGCATACACGCTACCTCGTCACGTGCTGTTCAGAAACAACTCAAGGCTCCCCTTTATCTCCCGCCCTCTTTCTCTTTTTTAACGCCGACCTGGTTCAACGACACATTGACAGCCATGGAGGAGCCATAGCGTTCGTCGACGACTTCACAGCATGGGTCACCGGGCCCACCGCACAGAGCAACCGTCAAGGCATCGAAGCTATCATCCAGGACGCTCTGGACTGGGAAAGACGGAGCGCTGCGACGTTCGAGGCGGAGAAGACGGCCATCATACACTTCACCCGGAAATATTACAAGTCCGATTCAGAGCCTTTCAAGATCAAGGGACAAAATGTCCAGCCGAAAAACCACACCAAGATCCTCGGAGTGATTATGGATGCCAAGATCAAATTCAAGGAACACGCTGCGCGGGCCGCGTCCAAAGGTCTCGAGGCCGCTCTCGAGCTGAAACGGCTGAGAGGCTTGACGCCGGCCACGGCGCGTCAGTTGTTCACTTCCACGGTCGTGCCCGTGGTGGATTATGCCTCCAACGTCTGGATGCACGCTTTCAAGGACAAGCTCATAGGACCGATTAACCGGGTGCAAAGGATCGGAGCACAAGCGATTGTGGGGACATTTATGACGGTGGCAACCAGCGTCGCGGAAGCCGAAGCCTGCATCGCACCGGTGCAAGATCGGTTCTGGCGAAGGATCATTAAGCTCTGGACGGATGTCCATACACTACCGGACACCAACCCACTTCGCAGAAAGACGGCACGGATGCGAAGGTTCCGGCGACAACATCGTTCTCCGCTGTACGAGGTGGCAGAGGCACTCAAAGACTTACCGATGGAAGAGCTCGAGACCATCAATCCGTTTACACTGGCGCCCTGGGAGAAGCGAATACACGCCATCGTCGACGAAACCACGGCGGAAAAGGCCGATGTGGTAGATACGGCAGTGCGCGTTGCGGTCAGTTGCTCGGCACGGGACGGCTTGGTGGGAGTTGGCGGAGCCACTCAGCTGGCTATGTCAGCACGCAGCAAGCCAAAGCGCAAGACCTTTTACACCACGATCGGCACCCGATCACAACAGAATCCGTACTCCGGAGAACTCGCGGCGATGGCGCAAGCCCTGAGCTCGTTGCCACAACTCCGGTTTCGCAGAATCGTCCTACTGACTAGCAACAAGGCTGCAGTCCTCTCATTGAGGCGACCACGCCAGCAGTCGGGACAAGAATACATTGGTCGCATTTACGACGTCATCAGACATCTACGGAGAGAGGGCAACACAGTGATGGTCATGTGGACCCCGGTGGATGACGACAACAAGTGGAAGAAGATCGCCAAGGAGAAAGCACAAAAGGCTACCGGTTCGAAGGCCCGACTGACGAAACAACGACCAGGGATGAGGTCAACCATGCTTAACGCCGCCCGAGCCAAGCGAGGCACCACTAGAGGCCTACCAGATAAGGTCGGAACGCATTCGAAGAGAGTTGACACGGCATTACCAGGGAAGCACACGAGGCGGCTATATGATCGTCTTTCATGGGGAGAGGCGAACGTGCTTGCCCAACTCAGGACAGGCATGGCGAGACTAAACAGTTATCTTCATCGCATCAATGCGGCTCCAACAGATCGATGCGCATGCGGGCAAGCGAGAGAGACGGTCGAACACTTTCTCTTTCGATGTGCTAAATGGACGGCGTTCCGAACGGAGATGCTCCAGTGCACAGAAACTCACAGGAGCAACATATCATTCTACCTAGGCGGAAAGTCACCGACGGACGACAAGTCCTGGACTCCAGATCTCACGGCCGTTCGGGCAACGATACGGTTTGCAATCGCCACAGGACGACTGGATAACACCGCATGACGAAACCAACATCCCTCTTTCATCATTATTTCCGACCCCCCCTATTATCTCAACTCGTGGCAACACAAGCAGGCGACGCTTCAGCTGCCGAGGATAGGATGCTGAACACTTGAAGAATCACCTTCAAGCCAGACTGCTACGGTAAGTCCACTAACACGAGACTCCGCAAAGACGTACATAGCAAGCGAGTAAAGCTGTATGGCGAAGAGGAGATTTAATTTGGTATGGGCTTCAAGGAGACTAAGGCATATCTTGAGAAATGTATTAGTAGATTAGCTTTAGCTTGCCCTTTCGGCTTTGCCGCCGGGCGTAATAAATTGTGTGTGTGTGTGTGTGTACAGGACCTGATCGAGAATACTGTATTGTCAGTCGAGTGAGGAAAACTTTGATCTTTGTGGACCTGGAAGGTATGGATCTGTCGCGCGATGGCTCAGTCGCCATGCAGCTTCTTGTGCCACCGAATTCCACCGTCCACCTCATCGACGTCCACCTCCAGCGAGGTCCAGCTTCTGAAAGGGGGCGTTGAGTGCCTATTTATTGGGTTGACAGCCGCCGGGGACTGCCGCTAACTTTGGATGTGCTAAACGAGGGCGTCTAAGGAGATGATGGGATAGGTTCCTTGTCAGGCTCTAACGCATACACAGATCTAAGTGGTGGGCAAAGGTCCTTGGCAGTGTGTGCTGCATAAGATGATGGTTGAGAAGGACGCCTTGAAACACCCTCATGACCTGGAGAAGTTGGTGACGTGGGACCTCCCCATTGGCGGCAGCAATTGCCTTGAAAGGTAGCTTTTATGAGGCAGCCTATTTATGAACACCTTCGGCTGTCATGCAACGCCGGCCCTTCTGCTAATACAAAGTCAAGGTCCTTCAACCAAAATCCGCAGGCGACAGTGACCATGCACCATTGCTTCGATTGCGATCGTGCTTTTTCCGATGTATTGGCATTACGCCAACACCTCCGGGATTCCTCAGCTCATGCTCTCGGGTTCCGTCGCGATGATTGTAACCGGGGCTTCGGCAGCGATGACGCCTTTCGACAGCATCTCCGTGACTCACCAGCTCACTCTTCGAGCTTTGACTGCGACGATTGTCACCGAAGCTTTGGCAGCGAAGATGCCCTTGAACAACACCGGCCAAATTCCAAAGGCCACAGTCGACAGCAGGTGAAAAGCCTTCGTGTCAGTCCGAAAGCAGACAAAACAAGTACCACAGACAAGAGAACTCGGTATGACGGCATCTCGCCATCATTGATCAAGCCAGTATACAAACTTGCTGTCCGACTGAGACGTGGACTCCCAACAGTCGAGGACATTGTGTTGGCAACAGGCACACGTCTTGAGAGACCTATCGTCGTCGCGCTTATCGCCGCGGCTGAGCGCCTAAACTCCCTATCCGAAAGCCGTGAAGATGCACAAAGGCGTGCAGAGCGACAAAAAGAACGATCACGACTGGCACAACTGGCAGAAGACGCCTTCATAGGAATTTTCTCTCGTCAAGGGTTAGACTTTACAACAGAGTCACAGCAGCGACAACAAGCAAAGCTTCTGGAGCAGCGCGCATTCCTGACGCCGGATATGAAGTTTACTTCTCCAGTGATGATCTGCGGCCTGCTATGCAACTGGCTTGAGTTCAAAGACTACTTTGGCTTCCCCGACAACCCATTTGTGAGCTCGAGCGAAAGAAAGCAATTGAAGAAGTATGTCGTCGCCTTTGGGTCTGGAGCCGTTGTTTATTTACTGGGCTTTCAAAATAATTATCCAAACATCAAAGACGTTGGGGTTTTCAGAGCCCGGGAAGTTTTGCAGAACCTATTGGGTTCTTCTGGAATCTGAAACTGTCAATTTTTGCAACAACAGCATGTTCTCAGTGATCGATTTCGGTCTGAAATGTGGCCATGTAATGTTTTAGTTGTCTGCAAACTGTAACCCATTCTTTAATTTTACAAAATGCTTATAGCTCTCTGATAGGTATCTACACCACTCGTCAATAGGATTTAGCATTGGTTGTTGAGCGCATCGACCAACAACACCCGAGAGTGCCTGGTTTATATCGGGAACATGGACCAAAACGAAACAATCAGGAAGCCGGGCGCAACAGATTGTGGATGTATCTATCTATCGAAGCTAGACTAACTTTACACAGATGAAACCCCGGGTATACAATAGCAGCGCAATGGCCCGCTCCCAAAATCTGGTTGTTTAACTCCATGGCAGCATGAAGATCAGAACGATGCCAAGATACACGAATATCACGTCTGTGATCTTAGCCGTAAGTTGATCAGAGCTACCGGAGTGCGCGTACGTTAAACTGTTCGCCTCAGTCGCTACAGTAAACACCGACCCAGGGTAGTTTCCATCCTCATAGTAGTCAACCAATAAAAAGTTTGGAGATCGAGACCAGGCGGTCTCACAGTGACGGGCTGCGTCACCGACACTACCGTTTCCATGATCCGCGTTAGTTTGGTCCAGTTTGGTCCAGTAAGGGACGAGAATTTCGACACCTTCGATAGAAAAATTTTGGTTGAGATTGTGGTTCATCAGCATCATCTTTGTCCGCCGGACCTCGTCGCTCTGATGAGGTGGTCGTTCAGGGGTGCACGGAAACGATGGGTCCGTGGGAGAGAATTTCGTCTCCCACATGACGAGAAATTCATCAAGAATGTAGGGCACATGGGTAAAGTTGGCCTTGTAGTCCAACATCATTACCACTCGGGAATTATTCTGAATCATGTCCCCTAAGGTGGGCCATGCGTCGAGATCTAGGTTCGCGGCGGGTGGGTGGTACACATAATCGATCAAGCCCGAGTTGACTATTGGGGCGGTGTAGTTTCCGACGTCGATGAAGTTGTCATTACCCATGAGGACGCTGACGACTTCATTCGGATGGTTTGCCAGCCAGACTCGCAGCCTCCGCAGCAGATCCACGAGAAGACCAGCGTCCAAGATTTTGCAGCTCGTATGACAGAGACGGAGCTCATTGTCCTGAAAATGAGTTTGGAATTGAACTGTCGGTGTGTCAGCCGAACGGCACTTTACTTGCTCAGTTTGTGGTAATCGTCGTACGCATCCTCACGCCATCATCAAGCTGCGTTTCGATACTTGCTGCCTGGTTACTTGCGGGATTACCGAGTTGGTTGAACGGGCTATTGTGGGCGGTCACGTAGGTCACATTGCTGTATCGACGACTGCAGAGTTCCGCATGCCCATTACAGAGTGGGCTAAGAGAACGCCGTGAAGCTCCGTTTTCATCAGTTGGATATCCGAAGCAGAGACAAAAAGGAAGCCAACAGATCACGATCCAGAGCTTGAAGAGAGAGAAAATAAGGTGCATCGTAGAGTTGGAGCCCGTCTGCAGGCTCTTATCAATGAAAGGCGAGTGCAGCTCCAGCACGGTGGGGGACAACGTTAAGGGTGAATGTAGCCTAGAGACTGTACCGTATGTCTAAGATGTGGTGCAGTACACTATGGTCCTGTACAAGACTGTACGGTACAATACCATAGTTATGTAGATTCTGCACTGTACCTGACTCAGGACAGGCTTTACAAACATCCACGGTATTATCAGGAATGCAACTCCTCGATATTTAGTGGTGAGCGTCGTAGGGGCTCGCCCGAGAGGGTGGTAAAGTATATCATCATCATCCCCCACGGCTAAGTATTTACTGTGATTCTTAAAATAGGCCTTACATATCATTGGTCGCCCATTGTTTTTCATCAGATAGAACCTACCCCGAGGTTACTTGGTTGGACCTAGACATGTCATGATCGTGCCGCCACCGTATTCTGAGGGACAATTTGTGCTATATAGCTATGTATAGGGTAACGTATAAGATGGCCGCTGTCTGCCTCAAGTTTATAGGAGCGGCGGTTAGGAATGCCATAGTTAATAATGTGTCAGAAGACGCTTCCCCAGACGCCAGACCCACCACCCTCTGACGAGCTGGACGTCTTCACTTTTGTTTTCAGCAGCCAGAAAAGAAAATTCTTCACAAGGAGGGGTTTCGATCATATGTTCAAGGACTATACTGTACCTGCGTGCGTACAGTACAGCTCTTAAGGACTCTAATGCAAAGACTTTCCTAGTCGGCACTGATCTGTCAACGGTATACTCTAAACCCGACAAGATATCTGGAGCCTACCTCATACTCTTCACGCATGACATAAGTGGCGATCTTAGGTACAAATGCAGTGCTTTCTTTATTCCCTCCAACCACATCAGCGTCACGGTTATGAGATTTCCTCCATTCAGGCCTAGTCATCAACGTGCACAGGATCTTAGTAAAGGATGAGTCAAGCATTCTCTGGCATGAAAGGCTCTTTCTTGGAGACAATCATACTCTTCGCACATTATGTCTCTCTTATTACAGTTCCAAACCAGCTGCCCCTGCAAATAATGAGGGATTGAATGCAAGGTGCAGCTCAGGAACACTCAGGAACACGGATGAGAAAAGCTTCGTGGGCCTTCAGACCCCTTATTCTTTTGTCTCATGGATCTCAGCTTTGAAGGAGAAGGTTTAAGCTGCGCCGTGCGCACTCGACAGGCCTCGTTAAAGTAAAAAGGATGAGCCAAACGACAAATCCAGAAGCGGCTTACTCTTTCGATGGACGAGGAACTCAGACAATTGATCTGTGCGAAACTCAGCCTAGAGCAGACTCCTTTCGCACCTCAGGGTTGCATAGCCCTTTCCTACCTCGGATATCATACTTCCGGAGAAAATATCTCCTTGCCTCTCGAGAGCGTGTAGCCACAAAGTCAGAAGCCTTGGAGTGGGTTCGTGTCGTGATCGCTTTTTGCTCCTGTCGATGGAATGCGCGATGTACACATGATCCATGTTGGTTAGGAAATACCGGTCAATTGCTTCAAAGTCCAGCATGGGTCTACCATGGGGGATCACACCACCTGGATGGTCTCGCGCAGCATGAGCATTGTTGAACTCGACAGTGTTGATGACTGAAGCTGTCCGATGCGCTAGACGCTGCGTGGTGAAGATGATGTTTCGTCATCCAGGTGCCGGCCGGAATTAGCAGCTGGGCGGCTTGGAGCAGCCTCATGTCCGCCAATCTTGTCTTGTCTTTTATTCGCCTTCACCCAGGTCGTAGTGACGTAACGCTTGCTCGCCCAAATTCTTCGTCAATCACACACGATGCCGTGGCCCGGGAAGGGATCAGCCTTTGATGAAGGGTCAATTGAGAACGTCTCGTCAGAAGGTCACAGTAGTATGGACTCCAGGCAAGGCTTGTTCGAAATTTTCCCTCTCTGGTTCTCTGCTTGGCCAGCAGGACTTGTCGGCAGCGCTTGTGGTCGTGTTGTGGACTGCACATCAGAGTTCTCTTCTCTGCGATGGGCCCATAATGTATCATCTTGAAAATTGGCGACAAAGGTTGACCCATCATTCTGTTGTGAGGCAATTTCCTGGTGTCCATCTATTGTTGGCGCCGTGTCGATGTCATATTGCTGCCTCTGCTGCAACGCTTTCGATAACGCATCAATCTTCTCGTCCTGCGTCTTCGACTTTTGAATAAGCATTTCAATACTCCTGTTTATCGTCTCCAATCTACCAGTGATGTCAATTATTTGCTTCTCCGACTTCTTCAACGGTAACTCTCTATATGTACATGTCAAGCCGTTGACCTTGCAATGATGACATTGCGGTCTGCTCTCGTCGCATTTTGTTTTTCGTTGTCGACAGGAATCGCATGCTTCTGCCGCTCGCACAGCCTTCCGTCTTCGCTGAAGATCGGGATTGTGATATGAAG